AATATGACTTTATTTGAAATGAATGAGAAAAATTAAGTGGGTCAAAACTAATGAACTAAATGAATTTTAGACAATACACAAAAATACATAAAATGTTTAGGTTACAAATGCATTCTGTCTCAGAAATAAACAGATCTATTTGATTTTCTTTTATTGATGATCTTTTTGGCATTTTAAAAGATTATTAGCACACATTTTATTATATTAAAAAATGTTATTTGCTAACCAGTAAGAATTCAGAATTAACCATGAAAAAAAATTCTAACAAAACAAAACAAAAAAACCCTGTTGTGAATTATGTTCTAAACTGCAGAAATAACATTCTAGGTGCAAGGAAAATTTTCATGCAAATAATGATCAATACTGCTGAAGACCTTGATTAGCTGTTTTTGATTTAATTTACTTTTTAAATGTACTGATTTAATTAACTTTTTATTTCAATTTGTCTGTACACAGCACACACAGATGGGTGTGGGGGGAAAAGCAAAGTGAAAAAAAAAATTATTTCTAATTTCCATTCTTTCTTCCTATCAAACCTGATTAACATTAAAACAGAATTCATCATTCATTTAAAAAGTATTGGATGTTTCTGAAAAGTTTATATAACAGCCATTCTTGGGGCCGTCTTTTTATGTTGTTGACCATCCCTATCACACGTTTGTGGGTGGAGCTAGTGTAAATAGCTTCTGCCAACAAGGTGGGCTTGCACTTAGTGTAAAGACACTACGATCAAGGGCATCTCTTTTCCCCCCTCAAAATGAACCGGAATGTAAATAAATAAATAAATAAATAGTCTTTTTTAAATCCCTGTTTTGAATTATGTTCTAAACTAAAGAAGTCACATTCTGGGTGCAAGGAAAACATTTTCATGCAAGTAACTTAATGATCAATACTGCTTGATTAGCTGGTTCTGATTTAGCTGATTTAGCTGGTTTCATCAGAGGAGGGACTTGCAAAGGTGCCGGTGCCCCAGGGACTCGCAGAAGAAAGTCTGTCCTATTTGTTTATTTTAATGTTCCATTCGATTTAATTATTTATTGGCTGTTCTTCAACTCACGAACCCCCTGTGGTTCCCTCTCGAACGCATTTTGGTAAACCCTGCTCCACAGTCCAAATCATGAAACCACAGCGACATCTAGTGTCCAATGAAACATCACACTATTACAATTATGTTATTCGTAATAATATTATGTTCAAATCATACAGTTTTGCCATGTATGCTTATTGAATTGCGTTGTTAAGTGGTGATGAGCACTTGAATCAAAATATGGCTTAGCAACGTACATAATGTCTGTCGAAATCGTTTCTGCATTTGGTGGTTAACTAGATAAAAGACGCAATAGGCCTACTGTCCAACCGCTGCCGAAAGGTCCACTACTGTCCACACATTTATATGGTTGGTACGATAACTAAACTCGCAGCGGTTGCTGATGTGTTGTCATAAAAGCGCTTGAATAATCTATTGCATTTATTCTAGTTTTCATTTTGAATATTTAAAGCAGCGTTGATACCAATTGAGTTCAGCAGTGAGAAGAACCCAGACTTGGTTCTGAAGGTGCTTTCCTCTCCCGGTCAGGTGACTAAACTTCAGCCTTTTCCATTCTTTACGCTACACAAGAACCAGCATCCACACTTTGCCTTTGTGAGGCATTGGGGGTTTCTCTGCACCATACAAAAGGCTTTTGAGTGACCAATCAATTGTATGCTTGTCACAGATGGATTGTAGGGGTCAAGCTCTATTCAAGCAGAGATTGTCCAGCTGAGTGACTCATGTTATTCAGGTGGTCTGTCCATGAAGCATTTCATTCATCCAGGTCATTGTAGTAGGCTAGAATTTAGTTGAAACAACTGCACTTTTTTTTTCTTTTAAAGCAAACGGTTGTTGTAAAGGATGCTTATCAATGCTTTGGTCTACAAAGTGGATTGGCTATGTTCGGAATAGAATACTAATATACTTCTCTTATTATTTCTACAATATGTATGTGTACAGCATTTATACAGTATTGTTTGGTACAACATTTGCTATAATATGCAGCAATGCACACAGCACACTGTAAAAGATGCACAATGCAACATATTAATCCCACAATGAATTATACTTAATTTTACCTTTCATTTCTAGTATGATAAATAAGCTGTTGCATGTAGCTGCTAATTATTATTTTTTTTTTAGACGGACAGAAATTTTCACACAAATTGAAAAAGAACTGTAAAAGAACCACTTATATTTCCAAATCGATTGCTTTATGCCACTCACATGATGAGGTCATGTGACAACCATGTATCATACTGTTCAAAACATTTATTAAGAGTTAATGCCTACTGTTTCAGTTGCAGCCCTAATTACATTTCATCTACTTAGAAAATATCATTCTTTGGCATGTGTCAAGACAGCCAGCATCAAAATTCTGATTTTAAAGTGTGATCCATGTAAAGAATTTCACACTCCATGGGTTTATGTTGTTTCTAATGTGTTGGCTTTCATGCAAGATATCACCCAGTCTTTCAAGCATGCAGGAAAACGTCATATGCAACCGGTTTTTCTCCTAGACAATGCTTACGTTGCCTGCATAGAACTCTACTTTCCTTTAGCTCATAGTGAGTGTGCAAATGTGCATGTGCATGGTGTTTATCACAATAGAAAATGTAATGTATTTAAATTGTATTTAATGTACTTTTCGGTGCTTTTTGAAAAAATTACAAATGTTCAAAAGTTCATAGAAGAGGCCCATGGAATCTTAAAGATTTGAAGACCAGTTTGTGTGGAAGAATGGGACAAAATCACACCTGAACAATGCATGCGACTAGTTTCTCCATACAGGAGGCATCTTGAAGCTGTCATTAACAACAAAGGCTTTTGTCTAAAGTATTAAATACATTTCAGTAAGCGTGTTCAATCGTTTTTCCCTGGGTTATTCCATTTTATTACACATAACTTAATTTCTGAACTTATTTGTTTTGTTTTCTTTGTATGTATGGATTACTTGGGTTGTTACCGACATCTGGTGAAAATTTCATGTCATCAGCACCTTTAGAAATATATTTACTGAGAAAAATGGTGACGTGTTCAATACTTATTGTATTGAAGGTGTGTGACTCTGTATATATATATATATATATATATATATATATATATATATATCACAGAAAATATACATTATATACCATTTAAATACATAAAATTTTCTATTCCATGATGCTGCTGCGAGTTTTTTTTTTTAACCCTAAAAGGCTAACATTATTTCTAAAATGTGATGTTCTGTTTGCAAAGTGTCTATTTCTGGTTATGGTATTTAACCTGGCATTGAGCTATATTTTATTATAAATTTAACATAGCCTATTATTAATAACATTTCAAAAATAAATTTCAAAATGTCATCTTTAAAATGCAGTCTTTACACTCCTAAAATATACTTTTCCAAATTATTCCAGAAACTTCTTAAATTAAAAAAAGTGCATAATGCATTCAATTTAAATTTCGATGAGACATTAAAAGCCAGATCGATAGTTTATTAAGAGAAATATTTGTTATTAATACGAAATATATTCTTTATTTTGTAGATTACAACTTCATAACTAAACAAAGGTTTTGAAACATTTCCAGTATAAAAGTGTTCAGGAGAACAACGTTAATTTCTTTGTAAGAAGAACGATACAACACTGTATAATGTCACAAATCAGGTGTCAGGTAGGCGAGCGGTCCTCGAAACCGCGCATGCTCAGCTGAGTCACACGTCCAAAGCAGTTAATGCACGGATATACCTCTCATTTACTTCCATCCATAGCACGGTTACGGGTCTCTAAGCAGCCTGACACAGGAGAGAGAGGAGAGAGAGGAGAGAGAGAGCGGCTGGAGGCAGTTTAAGGGAGGGGGGCAGCAGCAGTAGTCGATGCTGGTGACGCAGGAAAAACACCCAACAGCAGACAATAAACCAATGATCTGATCTCAACACAGGCGTGTTATTTATAATCGGGACAGCCAGGCACATGCACGCGGCTGAGTAATTATAAAACAGCACTTAAATGATCCGATCTGGGGTCGTATGGAGGAAAGATCCAGTTTGATTCGCGGTAAGTGGGTTTGTGTGTGAAGCTAAAGGAAGCTAGCGGCTAATAGCAGATGATTTGCAAGTCAGTGCTCACTTAGCTTAGCTCGAACAGCTCAATGAACGAATTTAAAGACGTCTGGATATTTGTCACTTCTTGCATATTTTTAATCCTCTCACACTTCACCTGCATAGCCGATTTTATGATCTATTCAAGCTAATTAGCATTTGCATTTGACGGCAGTTCAGTTTGAGGTGGTTGGTTTGTGGCTAAACAAGTGGTTTTGACGTGGGCAGGTCGGTTGTTTTTTGCATTGGTTAATGTTTTTCGTTTCTGGCAGTTTGTGAATTATAACTTGAGTTTGTTGGTTAATTAAAAGCGGTGTTTTGATGTTTTAATAGCTTTAAATTCTCTGTCACGAGCTGATTGTGTTTCGCTGGTGTCCAGCTGTTAGCCGTTAGCAAGTTAGCCTGTTTCTGCTGCTGTATTTACGTTCACTTTCGCTCTTACTTTGAGTTATAAAACAAGATTATATATTCAAAAACGGTGTCATGTGAAGCCTCAGAGCTTTAATAACATTTTATGCATGGCTGGTTACAAATATGAACCTGTTGTAACTCTGATTGTGTTTGGAGGAGGAAACAGGCCTGAACTGCCACAGGTTCAAACTAGGCCCACTACATAATGGCTGTGTCTCAAAAGCAAGTGTGCTGCCCAACTAGACAATATTTTTGGGCATCGTAGGCACGTTTGCAATGTTTAAACTGGCTGAGACTGAAAACCTAGTAAGGTCCCTACTTTGACAGCATTTTTGGGTGTCATAGCCTGATTATGTAGGCAAATCACAGTGTTTTGAGAGACAGCCAATATCATCTGTTTTCTGGACAATTCCGTTTTGTGGAATCTGGAGATGATTTCTGGTAGCTGCAATATTTATATTGACGGTATAGGAAACGCCCATATTTGGCTATTAAGTGACAGTAAAATTAATTTCCTCCCATTATCTGAGAACGTCAATCTCTACGTTTATATTCTGCTTGCCAGACCATGGGCTTCTGAGCGGTTTATTATGACAAATGTGAAAATGTTTGTTGTAATGAGTTCTATTATATTAGAGAATTGTTTTGTCTCTGTATTGTGATGTCATATCGATTCAGAGAAATGTTGTTTTGTATTCATTATGCTTATAGTAGCATGTTCATAATTACTGCCAAACCAGCAGGTTAGTTAAAAGTTTCAAACAATCTTTCACTCAGACTGCTTCTGTGTGTTATCGTGATGTGATTTGAGGGCATTTCAATTTTTCTCTGATATTTGAGAATCTATACCAGTTAATTTTCATTGACAAGATCTTTTTGAACCGTGTTAGTCAAATGTGCTTATACATTATGACTCTGACACATTTCTATTTAATTTTTTAAGTTTCATTTGATATCACAATTTAAATAGATGTTTAAAACATTTAATACTTTGTAAATTAAATAATGCTGCAATACTGATTTTATGTAATGCTGTTTTTTAATTAATACTAGGAATTCTCATCCTGATCAGCAGCCAAGATGTGCCAAGAGGTTTATTTCTGAAAAAATCCACTTATCTATATAGAAATCAGTGCCTGAAAGCCACGTCAGTGTTTTTTTCTTTTGTGTGAAATTTGTGTTGGTTTAGCTCATTACAAATCGTTTAGTAACTCTGCAGCTATTCTACCTTATTTGTTTGAGAGTCAGTTGGCACAAAATGAAAAAAGACGGTTGTCTGATTAATGTAATAAAACGCTAAGCATGTTCGGTTTTAAATATCCCAGCCTCTTTAAAATTAATAGAAATAGTTTTGATATATTCTGTTGAATTTGGTAGCACGTCCAAGATAATGTTATGTTGGCATATTTTAGTTTCTACTTTTAACTCTGTAAATGTTTTAGCATCAACTTATATTTTCAGTTATACTTTGCATTGTGAAAAACGTCCAGTTAGCTAAGAAGTGTTGATGAGAAAGTTCCCTTGGTTGTCCTTCATGTTTTTCTCTGTCATTCCATCAGTGCTAGTTTGTGCTCTGCACTGCTTTTTCTTTACTTGGCCTTGTATTATGTACTAACCAGACCTGTTTTGTATGCTATGATTTAATGCACTTTGCACTAGCCAGCAGCATCCTCATGGGAAGCATAACATGCACTATAAAAGCAAAACCTCTGCTACTTGTTTTGAACTATATATCTTGTAGTTTTGTAGTGATTGTTATGCAATATATTTGACCTGATAAGGGCACTAGAAATAGTTTCACCATTGTTTCCGAACAGCGATTCTGTGCTTCCATGTCTGTGCACTAAATGTGAAAAATGTCAGACATTCAGTTTTATGAGCAAACCAATTTGAACTCCGTAAATATATGAAATGTTACATATCTTTATGCTAAATACTTTACATCCATACAAATGGAATTATAAAGAGCTTTGTGAATAGTTAAATGTAAGCCTGAATTTAAAATCTAAATACAGTCAAAATGGCACCCTATTTACTTTTTAATGCACATACGTGGTCTTGTTGCACAAGATTCATCAGTGCATGTTGTTCATCAGTGCATGTCTTGCCTTTGTGATTTTGAATCATAATGTAAAAACTTGCTCCTCCTTTTCCTTTTTGGCTGATGTCAGTTAGGCCTTACTGTGACGTGCTTTTAACCAATAGCCAAACAGTTATTTAGACATTGTTTTAGTTATCTCTCCTTTGGTCTAGTTCCATTCTGATGTGCAACACCTACTTTTCACAATCCAATTCCCGATAGATAAAATGAAGTACCGCCCTATTTTTTTTTTCTGGTCACTTGGATATATGTCAGAAAAGGAAGTAAATTCACATTGATTTTATTATAAAAACATATGAGGTCTAAGGCAGGACATAGCATGGAAATTAATAAAAGCTTAATTACATTTATTTCTAGTTACACTCAGCTCTAAAATATTTCATGGGCTCTTTGCAAGTGCAGTCTCTATAAAATTATTTAAAAAATTCTCTGTGCATAAAAGACATGTGAAACCATTTGTCAAAGGTGTGTTTTAAAGATTCTGATGTTAGTCTCTTTATTTCTCAGGTTATGCAATGGTCTCTGCAACATACCCAGTCCCCCAGGTGGTGCTTTCACTTTCAGAAGTGTGCCGGTTCTCCGTCACTCCTAAGGAGAAACTGATTTCTTCTGCTGTGCCAGCGACATAAGCAGACAAGATTGCAAAGATCTGCCCCGTGTCGAGTATGACGGCCACGACCCGTGGCTCCCCTGTGGGAGGGAATGACGGTCAGGGCCAGGCTCCGGATGGCCAGTCCCAGCCACCCCTGCCCCAGAACCAGGTCAGTGCTCCATTTTGAGTTTCCCCTTTCCATTCCGATCCGTTTTTGCTGTTACTGAAGGAAAACTGTCGCTGAAGAGAATTTGTTTTATCGATAAAGTTTGCAGTGACCTTGCGTTGTGTAGACATGTGCCGGTATTCGGTAATGCGATATATCACAGTAATGAATATGCACGATATTGTTATCGTGGGCACTAAATACCGTGAATAATTACATATAACAAATTATTCCGAATTTTGAATGCATTTTAAGAATACTTTTCCCATCAACTGGTCAAAGTGCACAACACCGCTGTATACTGCGTGAAAGACACGTGCGCACTCTGATGTGTAAAGACTGATTTATACTCGACGTGCCCGCAAAGTTCGCTTGGGTGTGCGCGGCAAATATGACGTCAATGCGGTGTTCGCGGAAGTACGCTTTGAGTGCGCGCAAACTCATTTCGTGTGGCGGTGTGCACGGCATTTTTTGTAACTTTCCGCGCAGCTCCGCATCCGAAGATGCACGAGTTCAGGGCGATTCTAGCTGAACATGCACGTCTGTGCCAACATTTGTGTGAAACGAGCAGTTTGATGTGAAGTTCAAACTCCATCAGGTGCTTTTTGATGCTTTGACAGAAAACAATGCATAGTTTTTTTTTGCGTAGTTTGTCCAAGGCTTTTTATTTGAAGTACATTTTATTTTTATTGTATAAAAATAGAATTAGAATTCATTTATACACTATTTGATTAAAGTTGTCTTGTGTTTGATGTGAAATAAAGCCAGTAGTTTAAGATTGTTTTAATCAGTTTGTACATAAAGATATTATTAATTTTACAACTCATTCATCACGCGAGAAGTCTTGTACCGGCAAATGACTTCTTCACACTGGTGATTCCTGATGGTTTTAGAGGACAATTACTCCTCGTTGCCCCCGGTTGTTTCAAAGAATAGTACAACGGTGAACGCAACCAGTATAAAAGCCTCGTCCATTTGGGAAGGTGCGCACACAGTCAGCGGAGCCAGGCGAAAGTATAAATCCCGCTTAAACAAGCACGGATGAGAAGCGCGATTTGCAGAACGCGTGAGAGACGCTCTGGATGAAAGCGCACATTCACTTTTCACATTTTAATCTGGACTACAACATGCCCTAGATATTGTTTGAAAGTGTTTTGATTCGTTATTGTTCGGTCACACTTTACATTAGGGCTTCATTAGTTAACATTAGTCAATTCATTATTTAACATAAACTGCCAATGAAAAATTCTTCTAAACATTCATTAATCCAATAATATTTTTAAATAATTTATAAATAATAATTAATTATTCCAATATTTAATAACACGAAAGCTGTAACTGTGTTATTTAATGAGCTTTACATGAACTAAGAGTTGTATTTTCCGATTTTCTTTCTAAGAACTATAATTGACAGCATATACAAACAAAATTTGTCTTATTTTCATAAAAAAACGCAAGTAAAAAGTCAGTAATAAAATAAGAACAAATAAAAAAATTGCAAACAACAGCACAAATAAATGCAATAGAATAAAGAGAGCTATGAAACTAAGCTTTTCAACTTTGATTAACATGACAGACAGCAGCATGAATATTGGACTGTGGTCCCTTTAAGAGTTTATCCACGGACCCAAACTGTTACACAACATGCGTTCTCTTTCTCAGCTATTTAACGTTCCAAAACTGACAGTGTTTAACTGGATACTCACCAAGACGGGCATTTTGACAATTTTGTATGTATTTGAACGTTTTATCGCAGTTAGCCACTCATTTTGGTATTTGTGGCTCACAAGCTGTTTGAGACCGAGCACAGCTTGTGCGCTCCACTAATATAGATCAGTGGTGGTGCGCGCGCTTTTGGTGTAAGCGCGAAACCTGCGGGAATGTCTAAAATGCACAATACAAGCACTATTTAACCAGAGCGAATGAGATGTGTGTGAGAAAGAAGGGAGCGAGAATGCGTGGCTGACGTTATTGCCTGTGCCGCTGGTAACAAAACGGATCGGCTCTGAATTGGAAAGAAGTGAGAGTGACCGGCCGATCATGAGGAAAATCAGCCGATTCCAATCCCTGGCCGATCGATCGGTGCATCTCCAATTTAAATGTTCAGTTATTTTTGTTATAAGGAAAAATTATTAAACCTGTTATACTATATTATGACAACACTTTTTTTTTAAAACGAAATTTAAATATCGTGATAATACCGTATACCATGATAAAAGCATTAGCAATTAATCCTAACATGAAAATTTGATACCGGCATATCCCTAGCGTTGTCCTGCATTATGTTCTTAAAACCACATCTGATCCGTTGTGACAGTTGACTGAGTTCCAACGAAAAAAACATTTGCCGACTCTTACGGATGCAAATGTGTTTCTGTTATTGTGCTCTGCCCTAGAAGGAACAGATGTCAACAGAGGGAAATATTATTAGCTAACTGTAGAACGATCCAAAAAAAACACCTCTCCTGTATCATCAAAAATTTGGTTAAGTAAGAGATAAACATAAGCTTATTTCTGAATTCTTTGTAATAATTAATTGAATTTAGCATTCCTGTAATTGTATTGCTTGTACTACTACTAAAAGCAAGGAGTTTTTGGTATTTTCTTAGTTATGTCTGTGAAATAACCAGTACTTTTTTGGACAGATAGACACTTTGATCACAAAATGTACACACATTTTCCATGAGTTTTTTTAAAGTGATGACTGACAGTTGTTCACAGCATTCTGTTGCATCATTATTTGAATTACATTATTGCTTATCGGCCTCATATTGTAATATTATTGATTTCAGGTTTACCTGCCACTAAACCACAGATTGTGTTTGCTTTTGCATCACTCTCAGATTGCTCTTATTTTCTAATTGTGTGGTAAAGAAAATGCTGTGAAGTTGACCATACATTATGCAGATAGTCTAGCTTAGTGAGACATTAAAGGGATGGTTCACCCAATAAATGGAGATATTTTAATATACTCCATAATTTTTTATATATACTCTGTCATTTCTCCTTTACAAATGTGGTAAATAGAGGCTCAACCATGTGTACTTAATGAGAGAAGAAAGTTAATTGGTTGTCACATGTCAGACAAGCATGTTTCAACTTCTGTTTACCATATTTTATGTGCTTTATGTACGTGTGTTGATTAGTGTATATATGTAAATAAAAGCCTAAATGGAATCTGTTCATTCTTTTTTGAAGCTTGACATTTTGACAACAAAATGATGAGAGAATATCTAAATTTATTTTCAGAGAGGGTGATGTCTTTTGAGAGGTCTTACTGAGAATTTGGATTTCACAGAAGCAAGTGTATCTCTGTCTTTATAGTGTTTCCGATTGAATAACGTTTTAACAATGGTTTAATGCATTTGTGGTCAAAAACCTGACACCCCAGCATTATGACCAAAGAAAAGACGAGAGGCTCCCTTTGATTATGTTGCAGAGGGCAATTGTTATGTTCTCCAGGGATAGACTGCAGCAGTGTTATCCATTACACCTGTGCTCACCGAGCGCATGTTAAAAGGCAGGAATCAATGAGGATGAGACGCCTGGCAGAGAAAAGCACACCAGTTGGTTAGAAATTTGTAGCGCCTAGACATAAGAAGCAAACTGGCTATGTAGGTCAGCCAAGCAGAAGGAGCCTTTTCCAGCACACCCCCACATTTCCCAAGTTCCTCAGGCTCCATTCAGCTCTACATGCAGAGCTCCAGCCCACATGCATCCATTGACACGGCACAGGAAACTGACTCGAAGCATCTTAAAGCTGCTTTATCTTCCTTGCGCTTTCTCTTTCATTCTCTTAATCCCTTACATGGATACATATTTTATGTTTGCTTATTTGAAGGATTATCCCGTCACTAAGATACATGAATCATTAAGGTGGTTTACGCTTGTTGAGTACGGCTTTCTTGTTTTTTACTGTCAATTATACCACATAAAGTGCTAACAGGAGAACATCTAGATTTTTATTTTTTTTATCTCGGGTATACCTAAAAAATTATATAAATGTTATTTCTCAGTATTTAAATGATTTATGCTGTTTGTCTGTCCCTTTTTTAATTTGATTATATATATATTTTTTTTTTAACCCTATTTTACCATGAATAGTCTCGGAATTAAAATCGACCTTTTACTAACAGAGCTGCTTAATATTTTTCTGGACGTTTTTTTTTTTTTCAGGATTCTTTAAATAGAAATGTCAAAAGAACAACATTTAACAGATTTTTTTTTTATTCTTACAATGTAAGAGTCTTTACTGAAACTTTAATCAATTCTGACCTTGCTGACTAAATGAATAAATTTGTATTAATTTCTTTAAAAATAAAATCTTATATTGATTCTGAACTTTTGAACAGCAGAGAATTCCCTTTTTTCATAATATTGCATCAAAATGTTTTTTGTTTTTTTTCGAACTTTGTGACCAAGGCCAGGCGGGGGAGGGCACAACATTTAGTGATAATATCATTGCATACAATTAATGGTCCAATCAAGTTGTAAATACAGTGCTTTACAGAAATTAAATGTTACGAATATCTTTTCACGTCATCATTTACAGCCTATGTGGCAGACTTTGTTTTATGAGGCCACTTAATAGTGCTCTCCATGTTTATAGTAATGACCTTGAATGTTATCTTCATATCTGATTCACATACTTTCTTAACCTGTGAACTGTTTGCATGGCAGACATCCTCTCCCAACTCATCCAACGAAAACTCCCCAGTGAGCCTACCAGATGACCAGGGTCAGGGGGACTGTACCACACCCCTGGAGGAGGAAGAGCCAGCTTTCCCCCACACAGAACTGGCCAAGCTGGATGACATGATCAACAGGTTAGGGCTCGTATCCTATATTTGGTTGAATTATGTTTATAATTAAATCAGAAGCACTGCAGATGAACTACAAGGATATTGATATGAAAGACATTTATTTAGGCTGTTATTCGCTGATAATGAGATCAGTGATGTATTATGTTGATTAATTATGTTTTTTCTTTTGATGTACAGACCACGCTGGGTCGTTCCAGTTTTACCAAAGGGTGAATTAGAAGTTCTTCTTGAAGCTGCTATAGATCTTTGTAAAAAAGGTAATGCTTTATTTTTGGATCTTGTTCATCATTTAATATTATTCTTGTTGTTTTAATTAATTGTTCTACTAAGAAGTAGCAGAAGCAGTTTTACCTTTATCTGCGTCATCTTAAGCTTTCACTTTTGCTCTTGAAGGAATTCTTCAGCCTGTGTAAATGTCAGCCTCTGATAGGTTTTTCTTTCATTTCTGTCTCCAGGACTTGATGTTAAGTGTGAAGCATGCCAGAGGTTTTTCAGAGATGGCTTGACAATATCCTTTACGAAAATACTGACAGATGAGGCTGTTAGTGGATGGAAATTTGAGATCCATGTAAGTCCTGCAACCTGCTTGATGGTGCCATTTTCATAATTTCTTCCATTTCAGCAGCACATTTTGTCTTTTTGTTTGCACATTAAAGGGTTTTACTAACCATTTGTCTGTCAGGTCTGTCCTCTCAAGAATTGATTACTTCTTTGGGCGACTGTGAAGAAACGTAATGTTATTTTGGTTGCCTTTATCTTATTTGTCTGGTTGATTGAAATGCCAAAGCTTTGATCAAAGAGCTCCTTTCAGTAAAACAGAGGCAGTATTAGGACACAGCACTGAGTCATCGCTCTCGTATGAGGCTCGTTTTAGCTCTTCCAAGGCTGCTCTAGGATCCGCTTCAATGGCACTGCAAATATAGATCTTTTTTTTTTCTTTTTTACATTTTAAGACTTCCTACTCACTGTAAATCAAAGTGCATGAACTACCCTTGCATTTCAGTGTATTTTAAACCCAAAACATACTCAATGCTTCTAGGATGTCAATCTGTGTCTCATTCTCTTGGCAGCGGTGCATCATTAATAACGCCCACCGACTGGTGGAGCTGTGTGTGACCAAGCTCTCTCAGGACTGGTTCCCTCTGCTAGAACTCTTGGCAATGGCCACCAACCCCCACTGTAAGTTCCACATCTACAATGGTACTCGGCCCTCTGAGACGATGCCTGCTGGGGTTCAGCTAGCTGAGGATGAGCTTTTTGCCCGTCCACCTGACCCTCGCTCTCCTAAGGTGAGAGGGTGTTTGTGCCAGACTTTTAAGAAGAATTTAATTTAAGAAATATTGAAATTCATTACTAGTCGCACATCACCTAAAATATACACTTTTTTTTCTTATGCATTCGTATATATTTGAACCTTTATGTTAATTTTATGATGTTAGATCCAAAGATGTTTTATGTATTAACTACTCTGTTCAATGAAAACTTCCTGTTTATTTGTTTGCTGCAGGGCTGGTTGGTGGACTTAATAAACAAATTTGGCACGTTAAACGGGTTTCAAATTCTGCACGATCGATTCATGAGCAGCCAAGCTCTGAATGTTCAGATCATCGCTGCACTCATTAAGTAAGAACGATCAAACATATTTAACTAATTTGCCCAGAACCTGGATTTTTTTCTTTGTAAAGTTTGACTCACTTGTTTGTTTTACAGGCCTTTTGGACAGTGCTATGAGTTTCTCACTTTGCAAACGGTGAAGAAGTACTTCCTTCCCATCATAGAAATGGTTCCCCAGTTTCTAGAAAACCTCACCGATGAGGAATTGAAAAAGGAAGCAAAGAATGAAGCCAAAAACGATGCCCTGTCTATGATAATCAAATCTTTGAAGAACCTGGCTTCTCGAGTACCAGGACAAGAAGAAACAGTGAAGAATTTAGAGATATTTAGGTTAAAAATGATTCTTAGGTGAGCTGAACATCTGCTAAAACTAGTTTTAAGACATTATGCGGCACGTTAAATGATTGTTATTGATTATTGACATTTTTTCGTTACAGGTTATTGCAGATTTCTTCTTTTAATGGCAAAATGAATGCACTAAATGAAGTAAACAAGGTGATTTCAAGTGTTTCCTACTACACGCATCGTCATGGCAATGCTGAAGAGGAAGAGTGGCTGACGGCAGAACGCATGGCAGTAAGTCATGCTGCAGTGCTTAACCAAATAATTTGCATGACAAAGCTTGTAACATTCTCCTGTTATTATCATTGAACGTTAACAAAACTTGGTGTGTTATTTATGTTTGTGAAAAGCTTGGAGGCAGTCGAAATAAAGCCTTTGATCTGTATCTTCACATTAGCTAATATGCATTTGTTTCCCACAGGAATGGATTCAGCAGAACAATATTTTGTCTATTGTGCTGCGAGACAGCCTTCATCAGCCACAGTATGTGGAGAAACTGGAGAAGATCCTGCGATTTGTCATCAAAGAAAAGGCCCTAACGCTTCAGGACCTGGACAACATCTGGGCAGCTCAGGTGAGGCAATGTTGACGGAAGTCATTTTTGAGCGAGATGCTAACGGTCTAATCAGATTCAATGATCTATGCTAAGCTACAGCCAAAATTGCTACCGCCAGACCTGGAGATCGGCTGAATGGATTCGAAAACGTTAAAACTCAACTGTTTAACTCTAAGGGGATTGGGAAAATGAGCCTATTTTCAAAAATAGTGGAGTGTTCCTTTAAGTTTCTGTTCGATTAATATATATTTTTTATAATTTATATTTTGAAGTGATTAATCATAGGATTTTGTCATTCTTACATTTTTCTTAAACTTTCTTCTTGGATATTCATGCGAAGCCATACAATATCTACAATTTTACCAATCAGATACTATTAACCAGTAAACATAATAATGTTAAATTAAGTTAATTTGTTAACACGTTAACTTTGGCAGCCCTTCTAGGATTTCTGCTTCATTAGTAAACTTTGCAGCAACTTGTAAATGTAATAATGGTATCTATATCCTCAGGCTGGGAAACATGAGGCTATTGTCAAGAATGTTCATGATCTCCTTGCAAAGCTGGCGTGGGATTTCTCACCTGAACAGCTGGACCATCTCTTTGACTGCTTCAAGGTTATTCATAATGAACTGACGATTACAATTTTTTAAAACATTTAATAAAAGTATTGTCTTACTGTAGAGACCATGCATTTATAGGTGTTTCATTAGGACTCAGCATTTCTGTATGTGCCTTACTAGCATTCCAACCGATTACAGAATCTCTGTCCTCAATGGAATCATTTTATGGTTTATAGGAGAGCTGGACAAATGCAAGTAAAAAGCAGAGAGAGAAGTTACTGGAATTGATTCGTCGACTGGCAGAGGATGACAAGGATGGTGTGATGGCTCACAAAGTGCTCAATCTGCTGTGGAATTTGGCCCATAGTGATGATGTTCCTGTGGATATCATGGACCAGGCCCTTAGTGCTCATATCAAAATTTTGGACTATAGCTGCTCCCAGGTACCCTGTCAGCTTTAAGTAGTTCACTTTCAAATTAAAACTGTAAAATTGACTGAATTTCCTTCTTCCATGCTAAACAAAGTCATTTTCTTAGATGTTTTGGTTGCTTGGAACAACATGAGGGGGGAGTAAAAAAAGTTGAGGTCATTGAATTAAAGACAGTGTTTTTGTTCTGCTGTAGGACAGGGACACACAAAAGATGCAGTGGATAGACAGATTCATAGAAGAATTAAGAACTAATGACAAATGGGTGATTCCTGCACTGAAGCAAATACGGGAGATCTGTAGCCTCTTTGGAGAAGCCCCCCAGAATTTAAGGTAATGCAACTCGACTCAACCATCTTTAACCATCAATTGCATCTATACTTGTTTTAGTACACAAAAATTTAAATGAACAAAAAGACATTTTTGCTCATATTCAAGGAATATTTACATGAAAATGACCCACACATTTTAGGAAGAGCATGTAAATGTAGAAAATGTATCGTATACATCCCTGTTGTTTTTCAGAAAGAAAATACCTATTAACTTACTAAAGAGCTTAGAGGGGTAAGTGGACAGCTAATTTTGGGAAATATTATCATTATTATTATTTTTGTTATTATAAATAATTTTAAAGCTGAAGTTTGCTTTTGGATTTCAGTAAATCTGTAATTTATGAAAATCTGCTTGGTGTGCCCTGCACCATCTAATCAAATCACCAATCAGTGCCCATGGACGAGGTTCATGCGTATAAAGCTTCTTAAAGTAAGAGTGCTGCTTTGGGTTACGTTTCATAAATGTACAAATGCATACTCTTGGTATATGGTTTCGATTGAGTGCACTCTTCCTTCGGGATGCTTTAAACGTGTGAGTCCATTGGAGAAAATAAAATTGCAGAAAGCTGAACTCACATTTTCCAATACTTTCCCACACCTTATGCAATGAGTTTAATGTGATGAATAATTCTTTTTCTGCCTTTGCTTTGATGGCGTCTCAGGATAATGCTTCTTTAATGTGAATTTAAGCTTTCAATTAGGGACGGAGGAACATTCTGTTTCTATATACCTAAAAAGCCCATTTTCATACAATTTAGTTGAACTTGCAATATAATGGAGATATATAAATGGAATGGTTAACTCAGTCATGTGTCTTTCTTTACAGTCAAACGCAGCGGAGCCCACATGTCTTCTATCGACATGACCTAATCAACCAACTGCAGCACAACCATGCACTGGTCACTCTTGTAGCAGAGAACCTGTCTGCATACATGGAGAATATGAGGCAGTTCTCAAAAGGTTTGTGAGGCTAACACTGTTTGTATATATGGACATACCTCTTCATGCGTTATTCATTAAAAGGGGTTATGAAATGGAGAATCAAAATGTGCTAGCTATTTACACATATAAGAGGTTACTCTACTAAAATACATAAGTTCTGTAAGTTTCAGAACTAAATACGAATTATTTTTTTCTACCCATTTTGAAACGCCCATATTTGAAATCGAGAGAATTGTGGCATCGCGATTCTCCTTGACACGCATCTTAATATGCATCATATACAAACATATATACAGCTCTATCAAAATGCTTGCCATCCCGAGTATCAAATGCAAATCATGGTTACGGTTCGGTGAAGTTAGCAAATCTCAACAGTGGGTATTTACTTCGATTTCTACAAGAGGTAATGCCCATTTCACGTCTCTGTTTTTCATCAGAGAGTGAAAATGAGGATGGAAAATGATTGTTTTTATAAATTTTGGACTTTTTTGGTACAAAATGCATAATATAAAAATCTGAATCTGCATATCATGACCCCTTTAACATATATTTTCATTTTTGTTTTGTTTTGTTTTATGCCCATGTTAAACATTTACCAGTGCTAACTTTTTATGTTTTATCAGAGCATACAGGCTTTGATCCCCAGACGGTTAGGCCAGGAAGTCGGTATAGTCATGTTCAGGAGGTCCAGGAGCGGCTTAATTTCTTGAGGTATTTATACTTTACAAGCAACCTTCCTTTACACTGCATAGATTGCAGAATCCAAATTCAATTCCATCCTTTTCTCTTTTTGGAGATTTGGCTCCAAACGCTACTCATTTTTGTCATGAACCGGAGTATCACAGCGTGTACCAGAATAAGCTGTTTATCACTGTAGCTAGGCGACGAAGGTTCCACAAATGGAAAGTGTTTTTCACTTCACCTTTTTACGTTTCTATCCCTTTGATTTTATTACTACAACTAAACCCAAACAGAATGTTCTGTGTGTACTAGACTATTATAATATTAAAGGCAAGTTATTTGTCATCATTGGCAAATTTATTGTACACCAAGGAACAGACAGTTTCTTGGTGTGCACCTAATTTCAGAAAACGGCTTTCACACCTGTCAAGCTCTGACATCAAATGGATTTGCTCTGCACCACAAGGTCTATTATGAAAACGACTAGTTCTTAGACTCTCTAAAGACTCCCTAAATAACAAATCACTAAATATCCTCGTCCTTCAGGTTCTTACTGAAAGATGGGCAACTCTGGCTGTGCGCACCTCAGGCTAAGCAGATCTGGAAGTGCCTGGCGGAGAATGCAGTGTTCTTGTGTGATCGGGAGGCCTGCTTCAAATGGTACTCCAAACTCATGGGCGACGAACCCGACCTTGACCCTGACATCAACAAGGACTTTTTTGAGAACAACGTACTGCAGCTTGACCCCTCACTGCTGACAGAGAATGGGATGAAATGCTTTGAACGATTCTTCAAGGCTGTCAACTGCAGGGAGGGCAAACTGGTGGCAAAACGCCGGGCATACATGATGGATGACTTGGAGCTGATAGGGCTGGATTACCTGTGGAGGGTAAGATTCAGTTAGAGCTGTTGGATCTTCATTGGTATGTTCAAAGCTGCTTTGTTGTGGGATATTACCTGTCTGAAAGGCCTTCGTTTTTAGTCCGTTGGTTATTTTGAAATAAGTCAATGTACTGTAACAAAATGTCAAGTAGCAAAGTTGAAAATTTGCCCTTAAATGGAACTTTTGGTATTTTTGGGTGGCATCACCGTTATGTTGTTGTAATATCACTAGTAGTATTTTTAAAGGTCCTATTATGCTCTTTTACAAAGTCTTGATTTTGTTTTGGGGGTGTACTAGAACAGGCTCTCATACTAGGTTGTTCGAAAAAACACATTTTACATTATTACAACACTCTCCCCAGTCTGGCATGAATGGCTCGAATAGTTCCTTTATCAAATGAAGGCCCGCCTTCTGAAATACGAAATGTGCTGCGATTGGTTAGCTGGGCCAGTGTGTGTTGTGATTGGCTCCACTTGACGCCTGGTCGGGAAATGTCATTGCCCTTACCATAGCCGCCTGCGAGCTTCAGTGTAAATATTGCATCAATATCAAATCAATTTCAGCACAATTTAAACCCGGATGATTATAACCACTCTAAGTTCGTCTGCCTTGGGAAAGCTAGCGTGTCTCCGACATAGTGATGACACTCGTTGCCTTCTCTAGTGTAGCTCAAGCAGGTCTCGTCCCATTCGTCGATATTTGTGATATCAAAAATCCCGGAAAATATGCGTTGTAGTCCAAACAAGTCGTTCGTTGTAGTTTTTGAAAAGTGATTTCTTTTAAATAAAATATCTCCTTTTGAAGTGGACTTTGAGCTTTGTAACTTTGCAGATCTTTTTTATGCTCAAACAGCCACGTTACAGACAAACTAATGTTGAAAAAGCATAATAGGACCCCTTTAAGCTAAATGAGGTTAAATTTAGCCAAATCCTAAATGTCAGCCTGAGTTCAAACCATCTATTTTCCTTATTTTTTCTCTAACAGGTTGTGATTCAAGGAAGTGATGATATTGCTAGCCGAGCAATTGACTTGCTTAAAGAGATTTATACAAACCTCGGACCAAAACTACAAGCTAATCAGGTAATAATACAGCGAAAAAGCATATCACTTGCTGTAATAGATGTCGGAGTGCTTTTGAGTTTGTTTTTAAAATGTGTCATATGACTGTTTGCAGGTAGAGATCCATGAGGATTTTATTCAGTCTTGCTTTGATCGGCTCAAAGCCTCTTACGACACTCTGTGTGTGCTGGACGGAGATAAAGACAGCATTAACTGTGCCAGACAGGAGGCCATCCGCATGGTAAGAGTGCTGACTGTGCTCAGGGAGTATATAACCGAGTGTGACGGTGACTACCATGAGGAGAGGACCATCCTGCCCATGTCCAGGTAGACCCATTCAAACCTGTCATAAAGTAACTCAACAAATGTGTATTTTTTGCTTGTCTATGACGGCCAGATTCTAATAAACTCTATTTAATTGATTTTTTTCTCTTTAAGGGCTTTCCGAGGAAAGCATATCACGCTAGTTGTGCGTTTCCCAAACCAAGGCCGACAAGTTGATGATCTGGAAATTTGGTCACATACCAACGACACGATTGGTTCTGTACGACGTTGCATTCTGAACCGAATAAAGGCCAACAGCACGCACACCAAGATTGAGCTGTTTATCGGGGGAGAGATCATAGACCCAGCAGATGACAGGAAGCTAATCGGGCAGCTAAACCTCAAAGATAAAACTGTAGGCATCTGCTTGGCTGTGTTTTCTCAATTTACTCAATAGGGCATTTCACACACATAACTTTTGTCTTACATTTAACAGCACTTTTGAACAGGATATGTTATAGTTTATGAGAGTGCTTGTTTTTTTTTTTCTTCTCTAGCTCATCACAGCCAAGCTCACCCAGGTCAGCGCCAATATGCCTTCCAGTCCAGACAGCTCCTCAGACTCCTCCACTGGCTCCCCTGGGAACCATGGCAATCACTACAGTGATGGGCCAAACCCTGAAGTGGAGAGCTGTCTACCTGGCGTGGTGAGCATTGTGCCATAATTGAGCCAAACGGTTGTTTTGTTGAAAGGGGAGTGCATCTATGGTCATGAAAAATATCTTCACAGAAGCTGTGTTGATAAATTGTGCATATCCACCCGTGGTGCTTTGCTGAGAGATCTGTAGAAGCCCCCCTCCCCCCATTTGGATTTTGCATTACATTTATTACTGCATTTAATATAACTGCCTTTAATGTTTTGCGTTTGGCAATTTTAAGTGTAACCTCTGATTCTTATTGTCTTCAGATAATGTCCCTGCACCTGCGCTACATCTCTTTCCTCTGGCAAGTTGCAGACTTGGGCTGTAATCTCAACATGCCTCTCCTGCGGGATGGAGCTCGTGTTCTAATGAAGCTCATGCCTCCAGGTGCTCTATATGCTTCATTAGATGTGTTTGAGACATCTAGCTGCACCAATCTGCCGTCTCTATTCATTACTCACTGTTGTTGCCTTTCAGATAACACCACAGTGGAAAACCTGCGAGCCGTCTGTCTGGATCACGCCAAACTCGGTGAAAACAGCCTTAGCCCCACATTGGATTCACGTTTCTTTGGACCATCACCATCTCAAGTGCTTTACTTGATAGAGGTTTGTTTGGTTCTCAGTATGAAAATATTTTATGAAACTAGCCAAGCATAGAAGCACAGCTGGTTATGTTCTAGTATTATAGTATGTTCTATAGTATGTTCAGATAATTAGTGTGCATAAGACAAAAATGTAATGCAAACAGTTGAACACATTAAGAGTACTGAAAAACACAAAAGGGGCTACAAATATAATGTTTAAAATATTACAAAAATATAGTTTATTATTTAGCTTTATTTGTATTTTTATTTCAGTTTAGGAGTTTTTTTTTCATTTTCATAATAATATAATATAATTTTCATAATAATAATAATTTATATTTATATTTTAATTGAATGAGCAAAAATGGGCACAGTAACACTGCCCTAAAGGCTTTTCTGTGTGGCATCATTCTTTGATATACGCAATGTTTCTGTGTGTCTCAGGTGGTATACGCCTTGCTCATGCCCGCCAGTGGGACGTTGGGTGAGGATGCAAGTGACTTCCAGTACAACTTCTTGAAGAGTGGTGGCCTGCCCCTGGTTTTGAGCATGCTCACCAGAAATAACTTCCTGCCAAATGCTGACATGGAGACCCGGCGGGGAGCTTATCTCAACGCACTAAAAATAGCCAAACTGCTGCTCACAGCTGTAGGCTTTGGCCATGTGAAGGCTGTGGCGGAGGCCTGCCAGCCTGTGGCGGAGGGGACTATCCCTGTGTCGCCTGTAAGTTGCCCTTGCTTTAGCTCTCAACTGTTCCCTTCAAGGAAGTCTTGCAAAAGTATAAGCACAATACCTTCAGTGAAATTTACTTTACAGAAAAGGTCCAAAACTTAGACCCTCAGTTTATTAAAAAAAATCAATCTTGTAATTTTATAAGGACCACAATTTAAGAGAAAGACTTGGCGTCTTGGGGAGAAAAAGTGAACCTGCGTTCACTTGTGTGCTTCGCTTTACACTTTTGTCCAGTACCTCATCTCATAAAAGTGCATCTGGCACAGCTCTAGTCTGTAGTTAGGACCAATTATGGGGGGATGGGATAGTAAAGTTTGCATACTGCAAAAACACAATTCTGTTTGAAGCACTGCAAGGAAGTAAGTGAAGTATTTTTTTTTTCTGAGTGAATTTTATAGGTTCAGCACTGAAGGTTTAATTTCTGTTTGAGACCGTAACCTTTCAGCCTCCCTGACATTCATCAATCATTAGAAACAGGCTGGCTTGCCCTATGTAGCTCCACAAATGTCAAGGGTGTACAGTGTCTTGTGAGGAAACACTCACACAGACTCCAGAAGCGTTTACATGAAGGGAGTAATAACCATGAGAAAGGGGAAAGTTAAATGTAGTTTGATTATGCAATTTTCTCTTTATTTGACTGTGTTTGATTATGTTTCTGTGCAATGGAATGGAACAGTAATGGAACAGTATTTGTATGACTAATAGGGTTGGAAAATACCACTGACCATGATTTTGACTGCATCACAAGCTGAAATGTGAAGCTATATTTTTTGTTAAAGCACTGAATGTTTCGGTACAAAAAACCAAACAAACATGATTTCAAGTTTTTACCAGTGTTGGGTAGAGTTTGCTGCATTTAAACTGTGCTTCACAGATTACAACTTTGTACAGACAGGGTTTTTGGGCTATTGTACAAAATTTTGGGGTCAGTAATTTTTTTTAAAAGAAATTAATACTTTTTATTTACCTGGAATGCATTAAATTGATCAAAAGTGACAGTAAAGACATTTATGTTATCCAAGATTTCTAGTTAAAATAAATTCTGTTCTTTTGAGCTTTCTATTCAAAAAAGAAGTCAAAGAATCCTGAAAAAAAATTATCCCATACATGTTAATATTTGTTTCCAAAAAATATTAAGCAGCACAACTGTTTTAAACATTCATGATCAAAAATGTATCTTGAGCATGAAAAAAAAGCATATTGAAAAGATATCTGAAGGATTGTGTGACTGCTTTGCCATCACAATAATTACATTTTAAAATATATTAAAATAGAAAAGTTATTTTAAACTGTAATAACTTCACAAGATTACCGTTTTTACCGTATTTTTTCAAATAAATGCAGCCTTGGTGAGAAGAGATTTTTTCAAAAACATTCAATCTTTTTGAGCTCCAGCTTTTGAATGGTAGTTATTGTCTGTTTTCTAGCTCTCTTTCTTGCTTTACTGTACATAATAGAGACCTAGCATGAATCTGCAAGATAACACCTTTTTTCTTATTCGTTCATAGATCAACCAGACCACACATGACCAGGCTCTAGTGCTACAGAACGCCTTGCAGAATATCCCAAACCCCTCAGCCGAGTGCATGCTGCGGAACGTGGCCATCCGCCTCGCCCAACAGATCTCGGATGAGGTATGTTATACAACACCACACAAACGTTGCCTACATAAACTGGTTTGTTTGCATTGTTCAAATAAGTGTCCTTAGCTATCTTTAAATGTCTGTAATGATCAAAAGTGTTTTTGATTAAACCTCTTTTGCTTTGCGTGTGACAAACGAGATGTACAAAGGAAATAACTGAGGAAACACCTCATGTTTCAGGCTCAGTTTTCTTAGTTTGTCCTTCTCTTCCTGTACCCAGAACTTTTTCCAGGCCTCCAAGTACATCCCAGATATCTGTGTCATTCGAGCAGTTCAGAAGATTGTCTGGGCTTCTGGCTGCGGCTCGGTTCAGCACGTCTTCAGTTCTAATGAGGAGATCAGCAAGATCTATGAGAAGGTGCTAGTTCTTGGCTATGTATTCATTATTTATGAACTCAATATTCTGAATATTATTTATGACTCAATATTTATGCTTGTGATGTTGGATCTTCCACAGACCAATGCTGGCAATGAGCCGGATGTCTTCCTTTTTTCCCCCCCATGAACTCCTTATAGGAGTTAATGGATGACTTCCTGTTCCCAGCATCTAATGTGTACTTGCAATACATGAAGAGTGGAGAATTCCCCACTGAGCAGGCCATACCTGTGTGTAGCACCCCAGCCACCATCAATGCCGGCTTTGAACTGCTGGTTGCACTTGCTGTCGGATGTGTGCGAAATCTCAAGCAGATTGTGGACACACTAACTGATATGTACTATTTAGGTGTGTGCTAATGTTGATTCCTGATTCCTAGAAATGGTGCACTCAACCCCATCAGTTTTCATGATGCATAGTTATTTACTTGTTTTTTTTTATAAATGGTTTTTATGTACCTTTAGGTTGTGAACCACTTACAGAATGGGAATATTTACCGCCAGTTGGCCCAAGGCCCACCAAGGGGTTTGTGGGTCTGAAAAATGCAGGTGCGACTTGCTACATGAACTCAGTGATCCAGCAGCTCTACATGATTCCTCCCATCAGGAATGGCATCCTGGCCATTGAAGGCACGGGCAGCGAGGTGGATGATGATATGTCTGGAGACGAGAAGCAAGATAATGAGGTACTGCCTAACACTGTTCATTTCCGGAGTCTCAGACTGCGTTGTGTTCATGAGAATTTTGCTCTATATGTGAGTGTTTCAAAATAAAAATGGACTATAAAGCAAAACAAATATCTCTGGAGGAGGTCACAGTATGATTCACTTAGATTGAGCAATGTGAACGCAAAATGCTCAAGGTTTACTTAATTTTTACATTTGGGATATTCCATATTTTTCCCATTATAGGTTTGAATTCACTTTCAATGGACAGTGTGAATGCAATTTAGCCACCTTTTGGTTTAAAAAAAGATTCAAAGTGCTTAACTGTTGTTTTAGTATTATTTATGTACTGTTACAGTTTTTATTATTGTTTTGAATTTGCTTTTATTTTAATATTTTTAGAATTAAATTTGATTTAAATTGTTTAGCTTTAATTCCTGTTTTAGTATTCTTAGTACTTAAATTCTTAGTAATTCTTACATAAAAAAAAATCTGTCTTGTTTAAATGTTTATCTAATATTTTTTTCAATATATATATTATAATAGTTTGAGTTAACAGTAACACTGGTACATTGCATGTTGAACCAAGGAAATTTGCAATGGACCATTAGCACCTGTACCAATCACAGTGAATAAAAATGGGAGTAGGATTGCCTAGGGAAAAGCTCAGGTGGAGGGGTGTGGCTTCTCATTTCCCAGTATAATTAAGCTCAGGTGTGTGCTTTATTAACCCAGAGAGTGCTTACAGCCAGTGTTGCCAATTTAGCTACTTTGTAGCTAGATTTAGCAACTTCCCCACCCCTTTTGAGACTTGTTTCAAAAGTTTAGGGACAAAAATAGCAACTGCTTGGACAAACCTTATCTAAGTTCTCATCTTGCCCACTGATCTACGTTCATCTTTATATAGATCAGTGAATTTGCCATTGTGATGTCATCTAGTGACATTTAGCTACCAGTTTTAGCTACTTTCAATTGAAAGCAGTTGGCAACACTGCTTACAGCTCTTGCACTTGTTGTTCTGGAAGCACACATAGTGGATTGTTTCTGGAGAGGTTGTGCTTTCAGTTTCTGATGACTGGTAATGTCATTAAATTGAAATTATATTGCACCTTTTTAATGGATGAACTGCCCAATGATGACTATCATCCTTTCTCACTACCAAGTGACTGACAAATTTAGCCATCTCTGGGGTGTATATGCCATGTGGGCAATCCCTGGAGCTGAGGGCATTTTAACAAAAGTTTTCTTTAAATTATTATGTGATTGAAGTTGCTTACAACAATTGAAGTTTATTGAAAGTCTCGCTTTAATTTTGCAGAGTAATGTGGATCCCCGGGATGAAGTATTTGGATATCAGCACCAGTTTGAAGACAAACCTTCTCTCAGTAAGTCGGAAGACAGGAAGGAATACAACATTGGGGTTCTTCGGCAGTTGCAGGTCATTTTTGGACACTTGGCTGCCTCCAGGTTGCAATACTACGTGCCTAGGGGATTCTGGAAGCAATTTCGGTAAATTTACCTTTCTTTTAAGACTACTGAACAAGGCACTATTCTCTAAACCGGTCTCTTCCTCTTTCTGCAGGTTGTGGGGTGAACCAGTAAATCTGAGGGAGCAGCATGATGCCCTGGAGTTCTTTAACTCGCTGGTAGACAGTTTAGATGAGGCTTTGAAAGCATTGGGTCACCCTGCCATGCTGAGCAAAGTGCTGGGTGGCTCTTTTGCTGACCAGAAAATATGTCAGGGCTGTCCTCACAGGTACATTGGAAATCTAATATTGTGGGTTTTTTTTTTTTTTGCCTTGGTAGATCTTTTTGTCAGTGTAACACACTCCATACTGTCTTTTCAGATATGAATGTGAGGAATCGTTTACGACGTTGAATGTAGATATCAGAAACCATCAAAATCTCCTCGATTCTATGGAGCAGTACGTGAAAGGAGACTTGCTTGAGGGTGCAAATGCCTACCACTGTGAAAAATGCAACAAGAAGGTGTGTGTTCTGTCTTTATCTTAAGGATGTCTTTTGTTGTTGTTTAAGAGAACACTAAGCTCAAGGGGTTGTCTACATGACAGGTGGACACAGTGAAGCGTTTACTCATTAAGAAGCTCCCTCCGGTGCTGGCCATCCAGCTGAAACGCTTCGATTATGACTGGGAACGAGAGTGTGCCATCAAGTTCAATGATTACTTTGAGTTCCCACGGGAGTTAGACATGGAGCCCTATACAGTAGCTGGAGTAGCCAAGCTGGAGGGGTCTGATGTGCACCCAGAGAACCAGGTATTACACCAACATGGTCTTTCTTTGGTCTTCAAATTGTCTAATTGAAATAAATGCCATTTGGGAATATTTTATATAGCTGAAGTTTTGAAACTGTCCTTAGCAGCAGGTGGTCCAGCAGAATGAGCTGTCAGAGCCGGAACCCCCCTGCAGCTCTCGTTATCGTTTGGTGGGAGTGCTGGTCCACTCAGGCCAGGCTAGTGGAGGTCATTATTACTCCTACATCATTCAGAGGAACGGCGGCGGTGGTGGTGAGGGAGAAAGGAACCGTTGGTATAAGTTTGATGATGGAGATGTCACTGAGTGCAAGATGGACGATGACGAGGAGATGAAGAACCAGTGCTTTGGTGGAGAGTACATGGGTGAGGTCTTTGACCACATGATGAAACGCATGTCCTACAGGCGACAGAAGCGCTGGTGGAATGCCTACATCCTCTTTTATGAGCGTATGGACACGTTAGACAAGGACAGCGAGCTGGTTAAATATATCACTGAGCTTACAGTGACCAGCAAACCTCACCAGGTGAAGATGCCCTCTGCTATCGAACGTGGCGTGCGCAAACAAAATGTGCAGTTTATGCACAACCGTATGCAGTACAGCTTGGAGTACTTCCAGTTCATCAGGAAACTGCTGACCTGTAACGGTGTCTACTTGAACTCACCTCCAGGTAAATCCAGCCATTGACCTTGCTCTATTCTCCCCTGTTGTAGATGGGATCAGGGCTGCAACGTGCTGTTCATTTTGAATCCATTCTTCAATCTGTTTTTTTATAAATTGATAAAAAACAGAATTTGACTTTCTTGTATCTTGAGGGAAATCCTGATATTGTCCTGATATTAAAAATAAATTGTTAATATCTTAAGATTAAATAATTTTAAATGCTAAGTTATATTTGGTTTTCTAACATTTGAGAAGTTAAAGTAGGGTCGAAAGTTTGGGGTTGGCCAAAATTTTTTTGAAAGTGTTTACCAAGACATTACCAAGCATTCATTTGATTTATTAAAGGAATATTGTGAAATATTACAATTTAAAATAACTTTTCTATGTTAATATATTTTAAAATGTAATTTATTCTTGTGACGGCACAGCCGGTATTTCAGCAGCCATTACTTCAGTTTTGATTTTCGCATTATCCTTTATAAAACATTTAGTATTGCGCGCACATTTATGTTGGCAGTTGAACAGTTGTGATGCATATTTTTGTGGAAACTACTTTGTAATACTTTCATGAAACTATGCACTTATGAGCCTTAATATAAGCTCTTGGTATTTTTGGCTATGAAGTATGATTTTTATATATATATATATATATATAAATTTTTTGTTTTTCCCACTCATGATATTCTCTGTGTGCATATGCAGAAAACTTCACTAACATTCATTCAGAAAATGTAAAAACGTAAATAGTTGCAAGTGAGTTAAACCGCTCACTTGTGTGTGTGTTTGGGAAATGGGTTTCCTTTTTCCTCATTACACATACTCCTATTGTTGCTTCTGCAGAATAATGTATTCCAGGGGATGATGAAAGTCATTGTAGCATTAACGATTTTTTTTTTTTTGTGGCTTTTAGGTCAAGACCATCTTTTGCCTGAAGCAGAAGAAATGGCTATGATTAGTATACAGCTCGCTGCTAGGTTTCTCTTCAGTACTGGATTCCACACCAAGAAAATTGTCCGTGGCCCTGCTAGTGATTGGTAAGCATGTGATTTCTGAGTTTATCAGGCATATGCTTGCCTGTGTTCTTCAACTTAGTTGATCCTCGTTTCTTTTATTTCAGGTATGATGCTCTGTGCATCTTGCTACGGCACAGTAAAAATGTGCGTTACTGGTTTGCACACAACGTCCTCTTTGCATATCCGAACCGCTTCTCCGAGTACCTGCTTGAGTGTCCCAGTGCCGAGGTTCGAGGAGCCTTCTCCAAACTCATTGTATTCATTGCACATTTCTCCCTGCAAGATGGACCCTGCCCTTCACCCATTGCTTCACCTGGACCTTCAAGTCAGGTACGTCTCGTCAATCTAGGCCCTCATTGATGGGAAATCAGGGAATGTCTAAAATTTGGAACTCACTGCACAAGGTTCTTATACGTTTTACATTATTTGTCCTTTTGTCTCAGAGCTGTGATAATTTGAGTTTAAGTGAGCACTTGTTCCGTGCCGTACTTAATCTGTTGAGAAGGGAAGTGTCTGAGCACGGCCGTCACCTGCAGCAGTACTTCAACCTTTTTGTCATGTATGCCAACCTTGGTAAGGACCACTCGCCACCCTTAAGGCCTGCATTCATATGGGCTTGCATGCTATAGTGCTGTCCTGTCTCACTCCATTTCTTTCTCTCAGGCTTGGCAGAGAAGACGCAGCTGTTGAAGCTCGGGGTACCAGCTACCTTCATGCTTGTGGCTCTGGATGAGGGGTCCGGCCCTCCCATTAAGTACCAGTATGCTGAGCTCGGAAAGCTCTATACTGTCGTCTCGCAGCTGGTTCGCTGCTGTGATGTGACATCACGTATGCAGTCCTCAATCAATGGTGAGAATTTTATACATTGCTGCAAAATGTGTGCATTCTGATAACAAAATTGTCTGTAGGCTTTCACATGTAGTTTTGGTCCCCATTGCCCAATGAAGATGCTCATCGTTGCTCAGGACTTACTGACTGACACAAAGCCATCTCCAGGCGGGAGTGCCAGGTTGGCATTGCTTGGAGCTGAGGGCATTTACAGAGAAACAAGCAGAGATGCACTTCCTTTTTTTTTTTTTTTTTTTTTTTTTCCGCTTACCAAAGATTTTTACATATGAAATTCCCTGTGTGGCCCGAGGCAGCTCGAGTTTCTGTTGAAGCAAAGCGCTTGAGAAGCAATTTTATTCTTTTGATCTCGGTGGGACTCTGACGTCAGGCCAGGAGAAGGGAGAAGTCAGACAGTCAAAAAGAAAAAAAAGAAAGAAAATGAGAGAGACACTAGCAGAGAACTTTGCTCAGTCAACTGGTTCCTTAACAGGGTAATAACACCAGTTTTTTTATTTTCATGAAGATCACTTATAATGTTAGTAAAGGCTAGCACCAAAATAGTCATATTTTAGTTTTTCACAGAACTTGAACTTTTTTTTTTTTTTTTTTTTGTGTCAAGCCAGTACAATGTTTTAGTAGTTTGATCTGTTGACACTAATTTAAAGATTTGCATTGCAAACGAACATTTTCCAGACCACAAGCCAGGATATGAGCTGACATTTCCACATGTTGACATTTTTAGGAAACCCTCCCCTGCCAAACCCATATGGTGACCCCAACATCACCGCTCCCATCATGCCTCTGCAGCAGCTGGTGGTGGACATCCTGTTTGTGCGCACCAGTTATGTGAAGAAGATTATCGAGGACTGCAGTAACTCAGAGGACACTATCAAACTGCTGAGATTCTGCTGTTGGGAAAACCCTCAGTTTTCCTCCACTGTGCTGAGTGAACTACTGTGGCAGGTGAGAGGGATTACCAGCATTCCTCTTTGAAAAGATGTTGACGATTTTCAACTTAAGCAGCATTGCGAATATTGCAATTACAATTTTTTTTTTCTCTCTTTTATAAATGCACATTTTTATTTGGCCGTTCAGTTTCCTAAAGACTATCATTGGACTTAACTTGTTTCCTGCTGTCTTCCGCTCTTGCAAATTGTGATAGAGAATTTAGACAAGTATTTTAATAGCATCCGTTTTAAACTGAAGTAGCATAATGTTATTGGAGTTTGGAAGGTCTGTGAATCTGTGTAAACGGTCTGTTAACTCTTATGTCGATGTTAAATGTATAAAAATTTAAATTTTCACTGTATTGTCTAGCCATGTTTGTATATTTTTCCTGGTTGTCTTAACATTGGTGTTTTTGCATAGGTGGCATATTCATACACGTATGAGTTAAGGCCTTACCTGGACTTGCTCCTTCAAATCTTGTTTATTGAGGATTCATGGCAGACTCACAGGTCAGTCTATCTTTCCACTTCATGTTTCGCAAATGTCTCTGTGAAATAACATATGAAGAAAAAGCCCCAGAACAACCTGAAACACTTAATATCACAATGGCAATTGAGAACTACAATTTAGTTCCTGGAGTGAAGTCCTTAATCTTTAGGCGCCTTGACCGGTTTTTTTTTTTTTTAGATTAAAATTCCTGAATGCATAATCATGTCCTGCTCTGCTCTTTTACTTTGTTTGTTAGGATCCACAATGTGCTGAAGGGAATCCCTGATGACCGTGATGGGCTTTTTGACACCATTCAGCGTTCCAAAAATCACTACCAAAAGAGAGCTTATCAGTGTATCAAATGCATGGTGGCTCTTTTCAGCAACTGTTCAGTGGCCTACCAAATTCTCCAGGTGAGCTTGATAATGAAAGACTGCATGTGAATGTTTTTTTGTTTTTTTTTAATGCATGTAAAGACTGATTATGGTTTACCTTTTCCAGAGTAATGGAGATTTAAAAAGGAAGTGGACCTGGGCAGTGGAGTGGCTTGGTGACGAGCTGGAACGGAGACCATACACTGGCAATACCCAGTACACGTATAACAACTGGTCCCCTCCTGTCCAGAGCAATGAGACTTCTAATGGATACTTCCTGGAGCGCTCCCACAGTGCCCGTATGACTTTAGCCAAGGCCTGTGAGTTGTGTCCAGAAGAGGTAAGTGATGGCTCATGCCACCCCTCATTGTCTGCAACATTAGTGGCAGTATGTTTAGTTTAAAGTCTAATCATGCTTGTGTGCTTCTGCCCATTAGAGACTTTTTAATAATTACATTTGTATTTAAATTTCTGCATGGTTGCCTTAAGAACCCCTTTCAGTAAATACTGGTGTAATGTAGAGAAACACTTTATTAAAACTTTTTTTGAAATCTCACACTGACTGTATAATGATGGGCAGGCACATATCAAACGTTTAACCTTTGGAAAGCAATTTTGAAGAGGTTTTAAAAGGAAATCTTTTCTAATCTAGAAATGTTTTGTGTGCTAAATAGCCACGTTTAACTATAGATAGGGCTTTGAGTTTTCGACTTATTTCTAGGTTTTCATTTTTATAATGCAAAGCAGTTACAAATGTTGATATTTGCACAAGTTTAAGTTTCATTACATTTACACTTGATTTCATGCCATGTGTTTTTTAAAGCCATTTTATTGATTTGCAGAAATAAGGCGCTTTCTTTATCTAGTTTAATCGGTAGCAAATTTCCACAAATGTTAAATGTATGCAGCCATAGATGCATAATTTGTTGAAACAGTGTGCAATATTAACTGCTGTTTCAAAATAGTGTCACTTAACGAAGCACGAGGTGGCATCTGAAGAGGACGCTGGCCGGAACCCGTCCTCGACACAGCAACTTTTGCCAGGGGAAGTGACAGGCCAACAACAGCACACCGTAAGACTCGTATGGCCCGGCCACACTGGTGCCATCTGCGTAACTTTTTGGTGTTCACAGGGCGTGATGTAGACCGAGAACCATCTTCCACCTCCCTCTTATTTCGTCCTCATCTCAATGTGTCCAAACTGTTTTTCTACGCAACTACAAGTCTTAATGTGGTAGCTAAGTGATCGAAAACTCTAAGCCTTGGCTATAGTGCACTGAGTTGGAGGTCATTTTTGTGTCTGGTGGTGTTTTTCTTTCTCTTTTGTTTTGAGTCTGATTTTATTTTGGGAATGTAAGTGTTCTGGTCATCTGATCTGAAAACAACCTGCACTTCTAAGAAGCTTTTGTGTGACTGTGCAAATTTGTTAGTTTTATATTCTATTCTGATGATTAACTTTCTCTGAGGAAGAACACCGTGTTCAGGAGAATGTGTTCAGTGTTATAGTCACCCCACTGTCTAATCAGTTCATCCATGGGCAAATTCCTGTCAGTCATCAGAAGCTTCCTTAAGTTCAAAAACCAAACACTCTTATGCTTTAATTTGATTAAATTGTTTTGTGTTGTCCATTTATAGTGTTCCCTCATCTGTCATTGGATTTCCGATAAAGCCTTGAACTTTCCCATTTTATTGAATTCCCATGTTTTATATCGTAAGGGACTCTTTATAGAGGACATTATTCACAAATATCCCTTTTAGTTAGTATGAAGCAAACTGTTTTATTTCTTTCTATTGCATGTAGATATATATTGTATATCCACTGCTCAACTTCATTTGTGATGGTTGTTTTAGGAGCCTGATGAGCAGGAGGCCCTTGATGAGCAGGACACTTCTCCTCCAGAGGACACTGCTCTGTACCCTCACTCTACAGGCACAAAGTTTCAACAGGTACTGAGCTTCAGTCACACAAACCTCATGCTACTCTTAGACCTCTCTTAAACCATATCCTGTATTTGTGAAAAGACCATTCCAAAGACTTGAATAAACTTTCTTCACTGCAAACCAATGTAGTGGTTGTACTGGGACCTTGCAGATTTGAAAGTTTGTTGTTGGAGTTTCGTATTAAATGGCTAAAGATTTTGGTCCATTAGATGCTTTTGGAAAAAGTCTTATACTCAAGGCTGCATTTATTTGATCAAATACAGCACAAATATTATAATTTAAAGTAACTACGATTTAACTTTTGATCAATTTAATGCATCTTTGCTGAATAAAAAGCATTTTTCAAGAATGAAAGCTTGAGCATGCATTTTGTTTTGATTTGTTTGTATTTTACTTGGTTTTCACTGACTAATGGCTTTCATGTTTACCCCAGTTTGGGAGTGTTTGTGCTTTTTGATCGTTGAATGTGTAAATAGTTTATTTATTTTTTTTAATTGCTCTGAATATTTTGCGCAAGTCACTTTTAAATGCACGTCAGTCGTTATATAATGGCATCTCCAAGTCTGAGTAAACCATAAATATAAATTCTTCTGATTGTCATGTAATAATTTGATTTGTTCTTGCATCTTTTCAGCAGAATAACCTCCCGCATACGCAGCCGTACACTGGCCCCGCTGCACGGCATGTCAACAACCCTCAGCATCCAGGCCCACGAGCACAAGAGAACTGGGAGTCCCCTGAGGAGGCGCCGCCCAGCCAGACTAAAGACTAACAATATGTTGTCACACTGTCCTCCATCTGAGTTCTCCAGCGAGATACTCGAATCCAGAGCAAGGCCAGGCCCCACCATGCTGCTCTACTCCAGAGCCTGTGTAACCAGAACATTCAGCTTCCCTCAATTTCTAACCCTGGAGTGGAGAGTCTCTTCACTGTCTGCTCTGCAGTATTAACTGTCAAAAGTGTAACTTGCAGTGGACTGTGCATATTGTTTGTAATAATAAAATGGGCCTGTCGCACTTGTCATGACAGAGGTGTACATACTACGTTAATGTTTTGACTGTTCAAAAGCAACAGCGTGTGTGATGCTGTTGGGAGACTGCAGATTTATGAAAATAGAAAAACAACAAAAAAAAGAAGCAAATACAACAGAAAGACAAAAAAAATCCCTGTTTTATCCCATGCTCAGTAGTAAGGTTTGGGCCGTTTGGGTCATTCTGCTTTTGATCATACATTATATTCATGTCGAAGCTTAACCGGCTATGGCACCTCGTGAGCAAGAGTTGGCCATAGTTTGTGAACGATGGGATGGTTGGGTTATGATCTTGACGTTTAGTTGATGTGAATGGGGTGATGCAACTTTATTCTGGAAATTCCTTTTTTTTTTTTTTTTTTTTTTTCCTTTTCCTGGTAATAATTCAATAATTTGAAAGCTCCAGTTGACACACTGTAACATCTTAGCATGGCTTCACATCAAACTAGTATAGCTGAAGGGCGATTCTGCTATTTTTCTTTCTCCATGGCGATTTGGAAGAGCCCTTTTTTTTGGTCCCCTTCATATGCTCTTCTAGATTTGATGTTTTTGAAGCAATGTAAGAAGTAAGTGGCTTTACAATTGCACACGTTTCCTCGGATAAATATTTGGCTGTCGCTTTTTTTTTTTTTTTTTTTTTTTTTGGTGGGATGAATGCTTCGGTTTTGATGATAGGAATTTTAGAAAGAGAAAATGTATGCAACAGTTTATGCCAGGATGACTGGAACATTAGTGGACAGAACTCGTTTTGCTTATTTGTCTCGACCTTTGTGTCAGACAAATTACCTCCTGGCAATTTAGTGGGTCGCCTGACTTCATGATCCCTGTTTGCATTCGTGTACTCGAGAAGATACTTGGTTTGGGGATTCTTCATTTAAGGAGAGTGAACGTAAAAGCAGGGTTGTACAATAAAATAACTGCTGGTTAGTCATGTTGCAACTTCAGTTAGTAAAGTCTCTTGGATTAAAGGAGTAAACATCAGTAGATACTGTATTTAATTGGTAACTTGAATGTTTTTTTTTCTTGGATTTTGTTGGAAAAAAATACCAAATACTCCTGCAAATGAAAATATTCTGCCCATCATATATTTAAATATTTTGCTGTTTTATTTTATAGAATTTATTTTGTTGTATTTCACTAAAAGAAAAATAGAATTTGATTTAAGAGGAACATTTTTGTCCTTGTGTTATTTTTAAAGATTATTGACTGTACAGAGTTCTTCGCCCTGTTTTTTGCCGACTTTTGTTTTGGCCATGATGTGACATTGAATTCTGAAGCCACAGTCACAATGTTGACTTTCACTTTGTGAGGTTTTTGTGCACAGAAATATTAGAGAAAAGCATTGCGCCCTTCAAGAATAAAGAAAATAAATCGGGAAAATGTCTCTGTTATTGTGGAGATTCAAAGCTGATGTTTTGTATTGATCGTTTCAAGTACATTATAATCACTGTAAAGTGCACAGCTCTATTGGCACAAAAATGAACAATGTAATTGCAGCCATGTGTGTTGGTGGGTTAGGTATTAGATTTTAAATTGCCTATATAATAAGTCCATAGAATATTGACAGACAACACTTTTTTTATGTGACCCTAGACCACAAGAATCATAAGTGTAATTTTTTCTAAACTGAGATTTATACATTATCTGAAAGCTGAATAAATATGCTTTCCATTGATGTATGGTATGATTGTTAGGATAGGACAATATTTGGCTGAGATACAACTATTTGAATATCTAGAATCTGAGAATGCAAAAAAAAATCTAAATATTGAGAAAATTACCTTTAAAGTTGTCTAAATAAAGTCCTTGGCAATGCATATTACTAATCAAAAATTAAGTTTTAATATACTGACAGTAGGAAATTTACAAAATATCTTCATGGAACATGATCTTAAAATCCTAATGATTTTTTGGCATAAAAGAAAAATCTATAATTTTGACCCATATAATGTATTGTAAGGAAAGCTTTTGCTACAAATATGCCCATGCTGCTTATGACTGCTTTTGTGGTCCAGGGCACATATTTCAAGTCTTTTTATGGAATGTCAATAACATGCTTATAAACCTGTTAGTGTTGGTCTTGTAGTTGAAACTAATTCACTTGAACTTGTTTTAAACCAGTTTGGACTGCTATTCCAAAACCATAAACTTCTTTTTAAGCAGTCTCTGATTAGAAAAGACACACAGCAACAAATAAAATCCATTAAACCTACATGAACACATTTTCCTCAGAATACAACAATCATGGGAATACTAAGTTGAATTATGGGAAATTATTTTTGCCTAATAAACCTGTATATCTCTTGGAATTTAATATCTAATCACATTTACGTTTAAACCCAATGTTTGCACACAAAATCATGTTAACATCCAGATAATCTTGTAAACACTATAGTACAAATAGTCCAAGGCAAATACTTTCAACAGATTCCTGAGAACACTTAAATTGTTCTTCCTGTTGGGTAGGTTGCAGAGTTCACCTGCCAGGCTTAACATAACACCCATAAGGCCATTCTTAATATGTGCAGGGTGAGAACTGTTTTTCAGCAGGGAATGAAGCGAGTCTGGGAAGACTGAGCACAACTGTGGACTGCTTGAAAAAAACACTAGAAATCTGTCTTGCCCCCCAGACATGGATGACTCACAGAAGGTAGTTAACGATGTATTTTTATAAATCAAATCAAAGTTCTTGTCATTACTAGTTATATATTCTGTATCTAAGATTTATGTTGTCTACAAGACCAATGGGTGATTCTGTACCTTTCCATACCCTTGTTTTAATGTTCCCACACATTTTTGTCACTCATTACAGAAAGGAATGATTTCAGAAGTTCTATATTTTTGTGTATAATGAGTTTCCAGCTGATCAGAGTACAAGAATAATTTGATACTTTCATATTAATTTAATCTTTTACTATACTTTAAAATAATGTAATATTTTAAAAGACCTTTTCAGGTCTGTATACCACTTTAAAATTACATTTTTCCTGACAGTAGAAACTCTTTGACGGAACCCTTGTAACTTCTAAAATTCTAAATATTCCCCTATTACAAATGTAAAATTAAAAGCAGGCACTATGTGCCATTCTAATACATTTTTTTTTCTTTTGGTAATTTGATTAAACGTAGTGTTTGTTTTTATGCTTTTGATGTTGTGCAGTGTTCCTATGAAAAAGACCTCAAGAGGCAAATGAAATTTTTTGGGACACATTTTATTATGAAGATGCACATTAGTTTTCCTCGTCCTGGACGGTCTTTGTTCCACGCAGTCTGCCAGTACGACGGGCAGCGATGAGACCGACCTTGCGTCCAGCAGGTGCGTCCCTCCTGATTGTTGAGGGCTTGCCAATATGCTGATGGTTACCACCACCGAAGGGATGCTCAACAGGCTGGAGAACAAACAGCACAGGTCAGATTTAAAACCAGCATTTAGGCAACAAAATTACCTGGAATCACAAAGAAATACAAATGAAGTTTGCTTACATTCATAGCCACACCACGGACACGAGGCCAGCAGTTCCTCTTGGCCTTGTACTTGTGGTATGCACGTCCTGCCTTCAGGATGGGTTTGTCAATACGACCACCACCAGCAACAACACCTTTAATAAGAGGCAATAGACTTCAGTTTATATTTAAGACTTGGAGATTCAAAATTGAATACACGAACACCCCTAATCATTTGCTATAGCAGGGATTCCCAAACTTTGAGAGCTGAACCTCTTTGACATTTTAAAGCACCACCTGAGATTTAGGTGGTTCATATTTTAACATCTTCTGTCATTTCACTTTCAGATGTTTTTAATAATTTGAAAAATTAAATGTAACATTTTTGTCGTCATTAGCTCTTCAAGTTACAAACCCCTTCAAATTTGAGAAACCCTGTGCTAGAGAACACATCCACAAATTATATTCTCAAATTATAGATCCCTATGATCACAGCATATTTCAATGGAGAGACTCAACAGCAAGCACCACAAAGAAAATTGTTCTTTTATGAAAGATAAGAAAAAAAAGCTCAAGGATTTTACAAAATTAAAATCAATCAAATCTGATTTATAACCATGCAATGCAAGAAACACAATAGGTTATTAACCAAAAACCTTCATGATTGCTTACCAACAACAGCTCTGTTTGCAGAAGAGATGACCTTTTTGGATCCAGATGGAAGCTTGACTCTGGATTTCTTGGTTTCAGGGTTATGGGAGATGACTGTAGCATAGTTTCCGGATGCACGAGCGAGTTTGCCTCTATCTCCGGGCTTCTCCTCCAGACAGCAGACAATGGTAACCTCAGGCATGGTGCCAACGGGGAGCACATTGCCAATGTTCAGCTGGGCTATAACAGTCCAATCACTTTGATCAGCATGCGCACATAAGACCGGATGTTTGTTTGACCAATTCTCAACTTAAAATGACCTACCTTTCTTGCCACAGTAGATGAACTGCCCAGTGTGGATGCCTTCAGCTGCAATGAACAGTTCTGTCCTCTTCTTGAAGCGGTATGGGTCACGGAACATCACCTTAGCCAGGGGAGCTCCACGGCCAGGGTCGTGAATGATGTCCTAGAGGAAAAAGCAGAATTTTTCTTTGCAACTTCCCTCTTCAGATGACAAGTGATCTTTTCAAGAATTAATTTATTTCACAATGTTACCTTCACAATCCCCTTGATGTAGCCATGGCGTTCAGCGAAGTCGATATGACGGAGTTTAGCAGCACCTTTTCTGTGCTTGACATGGGCTTTGAAGACGGAGCCCGCACCTTTTCTCTGTCCCCTGATCACACGTCCCATTGCGGCCTGTAGAGATAAGCAATAACACGTTTAATAAGACATTTCAATGCTATATTTACATAGAGGCAGTATTTCATTCTGCATTACAGCTCACATGGTCACCACTCACATTACAAAGAAAAGGCTGCAATTAAACTGCATATATAAGCTGTCAGTCTGCTTAACATCTGCTTGTTTTGCTCAACAGAAGGAATAAAGACATTGAAATTGGGAATAACAATTTCAATTTGAAGACAACTATTCGTTTAACACACTGACAGCCACTATACTGAATTCATAAATGACTTACGAATAGCTTGTAGTTAACAGGAACCCACACTAACGAACCCACACACGATTAAAACAACGCATAATTATTCGCTGGTTAACAAATGTATTAAGCTCGTTTAGGTGAAATAAGCTCCGCCGAGTCACCAGTCACCGGCGCTCTAGGCCACAACATGGCCACGGATACACCATCACTACTATTGTAAATATCACATTCCGTTTAATACCGAGACCCAAAAGAGCAAAGATATGTCCTTGAGTATTATGTTGACATTATACGGCTTGTTGTATACGTGGATGGTGAACTTTAAACAGGGATTGTAATCAGATTGAGCAGAGAGACAGAAGATTGTTTCTCATACCTAAACTCCGTTGACGGAAAGAGGAAGTAAAAGGGAACGGTGGGGCTTTTCTTCCGGAGAAATGGGCGGGGGAGAGGGGGGTCAAGTACCCGGATGTGTGTTCAGTCTGCGGTCCGCCCCCTAGAGGCTGAACATGGGATCCATCTGAAATTAAAGCAACGAGCGTTTTATCTTACACTGGTGACACAAGCATAGTTGCTCCCAATATGTTATTTAATATAGTATTACCTTCTTCGTGGTGTATGTATCGTGATAATGATAATAACAAGCATATGTTGTATATAAGTATACAAGGTAGTATGAAAAGGAACCATGAGGAGGCAGCATCGGGTCAATCACCTGTCTGTTGCAGTATTGGACAAAATGGATCAAATTGTTGTCTGTTGTTTAAAAACATGCTACTGTGTATTTTGGTGGTGTTTTCTGTTTTTAACCTAAAGAAGGCTCTCGCACGCACACTAGTCTAATTTGTCCACTAATAATTACAAACAGTTAATGTGCATCACAGAAGTCTTACCATTTCATTGTGTCATTTTCAGAAATTAATAATAAATGCATAATAAATAAGTTCACAATGAAAATCTTGTGAAAAGTGGGCACTTAAAAGTGCCATAAGTTGAAAAAACGCCCATAAAAATATAGCGATATTTAGAGGCATTGGACTAAAATGGCTAAATCGTTGTCTATTGTCTAAAATTATGTTATCGCACATTGTACTATTTTGTGCTTCATTAAACGTATCTCTGTTATCAACAAAAGGCTCTCACACTCTCAGTGTATGTAATTTCTCCATCACGTGTCCATCGCAAAATTTTTGTCATTTATTAAGTCATGAACATTTCAATCACAGTGTCATTTCCATCACATTTTTCTTTTAATTCTGTGTTCATTACCATTATTTTGTATTTTCAAATTTTGTACATTTGATTCATTTCAGATAGCATTTTATGCATCCTAAATATACACAGTGTTTCTACCATTTTACATCATTTGAAAATGACCTATATTTATTTATTTATATATTTACCTTTATATACAGAAAGCATTTGAAATGAATGATAAACACGTGATAAAAAAAGTGAATAAAAATCAACGAGGACATCAAAGTGCCAACCAGAAGTAGAAGAAACGGTCTTCAGTACAAAGTGGAAGAATATCAAAGCTCAGAACATTACAAAAATACGTGTTTTTGACACGGTGTGCCCAGAGACGGCTACATCTCGCGATATTCCGGTCTCCGTGACGTCTTTCCTCCGTTCGCTGATCCAATGGCATTTAGCCTGAAGCCAACAAGCACAGCGAGCACACACACTGGGCTGCCATCAGCACGGCGGGCAGCGTACACAGACATCGCGAAAGAAACGTCACATTTCGGGATTTATTGTGCCAATACAAGGACTGAAGGGGGGTAACTTACACGTAAACATTTCCTTCTTTTTTCCTTACGGTGGTCTTGACACAAAAAGCCCTTGGAGAAGGACAGGACTACAAAAGGAGCAAGTGACGTCGTTATAAAAGGAGACTTGGCTGAAATCCTTTAGACAACAAAAAAAAAAACAGCTTCACAGAAATAAAGGAGTAATCCTCACTTATTCTCTTTAGTTATGAGTCTTGTGGTCGTCGACGGTTCACACGGTCTAGACCAGCAGGTAGGCTGTGAAAATGTTTAAAAACGCGAGCTCTGTAATCGCTTTGATCTCTTGGTTTTGACACGGAGGCTAACGTTACGTCGTAAAACCTAGTGAGCTGCCTTTATAGACCGCATTCTTAGCGTTGCTTTGCCTCTAAAATGCTGTCAAGGAAGGCACATCGGTAGGTGTTGAGACACAGCCGCAGTTCCTCGTGTTGTAATCTTTTCCTTCATTGAAGATATAGAATTCAAGAGATACAGTATTACCACAATTATGTTCTCTTGTCCACATTTGGAGTTTAAAGTGTTGTTTGATACATAGCCGACGCCTTTTCCTGTTTATCTCTTTAGTTTAGATTATTTCCGCATTTCGGCCACCGGTTTACCAGAATCAACATCAGCACTGAACCTTTTCCGTCATCATAACACTAAATAAAGTTTCTATTAATAATGTAAAAGCTTTAGAATAGTTCGTCTTTTTAGAGATACTGTTAAAAAACGCATGGCGTCGAAATCTGTCGGACATTTGAGTCTGCGGCCTGTTTACCATGCAGCCTTTAAATTGTATAAGATTGAATAATTTTGTGAATAACGGGCTGATGATGGTTTTAATTAGTTTTATTTATTAAGCAATTTCTAGATGAGTCACCATATGACCAATTCGAAGTGTTTCTTGGTTTCATGACCAAAGGCTTTAGGCTTGACTAGGGCCATGAAGGCTTGCCAAACATTTGTGGCAGGCGTTTTGAAATTTGATTAACCAATTTAATGCCAGCAGCTACATTTGTGACCAAATGTTAGTTTAAAGGCTGTAAAAGAGTTTTTGTATTTTATACAGTTGTCAACTATAAATGACCACACAGACGGTCTTAATTTCATGTGACATTTTTTACATAGCTGATCTAAACAGTCAGGTCATCAAAGCTGTTGAATTCTACTTTACCCCTCTGAAAGATGGTGTTCGTGACAAAGCATTTTAAAACTTTCAAAATGGATACAGTTATGAAATTGCCTACATATAAAGTTTAAAATTGTTAAGATTTGTCAGTGGTCACAACTGTCATTGTTTACTCATCCCTAATGTTGTGAACTTTTTTTGACTTTCTTCAATGGAACACAAAAGCTGTAAGGCTTCATGTGACATTTTTTACATAGCTGATCTAAACAGTCAGGTCATCAAAGCTGTTGAATTCTACTTTACCCCTCTGAAAGATGGTGTTCGTGACAAAGCATTTTAAAACTTTCAAAATGGATACAGTTATGAAATTGCCTACATATAAAGTTTAAAATTGTTAAGATTTGTCAGTGGTCACAACTGTCATTGTTTACTCGTCCCTAATGTGAACTTTTTTTGACTTTCTTCAATGGAACACAAAAGCTGTAAGGCAGATGTTTTACTTTATTTTTATGAAAAACAACAAAAGATGTGGACTAAAATGGAAAGGTGATTGAGGCTAAACATCTCCTTTTGTGTTCTATTGAAGAAAAAGTCATACAGGTTTGTAATTCCTCTCTGGCTCAGTACTGTTTTCTGTTTAACACACTGTATTTGTAGCTGGTAGTGTACTAATTGTGGCCCACTTTGCTCTTTCCATCTTTCAGCTTGCTGTCTTAGACTTGAACTCAGCTGATGGACAGGGTGCTGGCTCTGGTCGTAAGTGATTTATCTCATTTAGTGCTTTTACCACATTCAGATTGAATGCCTGCAAAGCATAAACATCCTCCACATAGTTATTTTGTTTTGTATTTGCATTTTTTTTTTTTTTTTTGGAAGTTTAAAGTGCACATTTTAAATGCAAGTTTATAATAAAAATGAATGTTTATTTTCTTTCAGGGCGTTACATTCCTCCTCATTTGAGAAACAAAGACACATCACAAAATGGTATGTTATGCTGGTTTACATTAGAAACGGTGGATAAAATGAGAAATTGTTTTATAAAATGGGAAATTTGCAGATGCCTGCAAATATTTAGGATTTGAAATATGAGTTTTGGCCTTTTGAGTTGCTGTAAAAAAAAATTTTGAATGGGTGCCTTTAACATTTTCTTGGATGTCTACGATTCAATAACTGTCATGTGAAAATACGTCTTGACAGACAAAAACACTTAACTGTCTTTCAGGGCTTTCTAGTATCACAACAAAACCTGGACTATTGTGACTATTTAAAAAAAAAAAAAAAGAAAACGTTTCTTTGAGACTTTTTTTTTTTCAATATCATTTCCCATTTTAATTGACATGAGCCACTCATTTCATCACTAAAGAATGATCGCTAGATCTATCTTAAAATCAATGCTTTATGATCAATTGTTGAGTTTTTCTGCACTTTGACTTCATGTTTTTTCACAGCAGGAAATGCTTATTCCTCTGGTAGACAGAGCGGTTATTCAGTGGCACCAGTACAGAGCTGTAAGTCTTGGTCAGGTTCTTCTGAAGGTGCTTTGCTTCCAAGATGCATGAAAATGTAATTCCATGCCTTCAGAGCCAGTACTTTGTGGCCAGACGTTTAAAGTCAGTTCTCAGAGTGTTGCGTGAACCTCACACTTTATGAAACTGAAGGAGCCATTTCTGAGTCCACAAAGCTTTAGTGGCTGCTCCCTGTGATTATCCGGCAGATGCAGTTGCTTGCATTTCGCTCCTTTCTTCTCTTTTCTAATTGGCTCTTTAAATGGGAATACATAGGAAAGAGGCTTGTATGCATATGCAATAGCGTGCGTGCGCGCACACACACACACCTTTGAATGCTTTTAAGTATTTCACCATCTTCTGACAATGTGAAACTGTTTCTCAAGTTTCTCCCAAACAGTATCCTCAGAGTTGGCACCCTGAGGGAAACCAAAGACACAGGCATAACTATCCAACTGGATGGAATGACTTTAGGATCGGTAACTATTCAAAACGACCTGATTTGCTCTTATGCTCCTCCGTTGTGAAGGAATGGGTGTCTTTTAAGTGCCCTGTGCCTCTGCTTAGGTTCCCAGAGGTATCCATTCCAGGAGCTCTCATTTTATCACACCTACACTAGTGGCTGGCCAGACAGATGTGGTATATCTTTATGCATGTGACTTCTGCATCGTCCCACTGTTCTGCTGTCTGCCCTCTGTGACATCACTGCATTTTAACTAGACCCTTGAGCTGAAGTTTGTGGACTTTCCTCGAGACATGTTCTAATGCTACATGTCAATAGCATGCTTAATCGTGTGTTTTTTTTTTTTTTAAATACTAAGTGATGCCATTTATTTAACAGCTCTAACTACACCACTACATAAGTTGTTCACTCCAATTAGCAAGATCAACTGATCTGAGCTTTGACGTTTCACTGCTGCCACGTCAATTGTTTGTTTTCATACTTGCCAAGAGACACCGTCCAACTCCTGATGCGTTTTTTTTTTTTCTCAAGTTTGTTGCGAGATTATGTAGGAGAATGTTTCTTTTACTTAAGGGATTGTTTGCTGTTTACTTTGACTTCTGTTGCATTTACTGCCTGCCACAGTTGTGATTTTTGATGATTCCTCATCGTATGTTTGACAGTATGCATTAGCTTTCTGATTAGCAAGTAGGTCAGCAGTGATTGTGCTCTTTTAAAGTTAGTTTGGAAAGCTAATGTTTGGTTGTGTGGTATAACCACATCTGAGGAAGTCAGATATGCAAGTTATTTGTGTTTTTGGCCTGTTTTTGTTCACTGGAGTAATGAAGAGTGGGTATGCATATGCATGAGCGCAGTCCAGGCTAATTTCTGTGTGTGTGTCACTTGCAGCCTCTCCTGCGCGTACCGACAGCAGTGTAGCCACCGACGGAAATGAGGACGCAGCCAGTGTTATCAGCTGGGCTGATCGCTCTGGTAAATTTGAGCATCAGACCGTGGCATGGCTTGGCCTGCTTTCGGTGGTTTTCGGACAGAAAATGATCTCCAGTTTAAGTGGTGATTCATCTGTATAGGCTCTAGTGCTTGTAAGATTTTTCTCTTTGTGTGTGTGTCACGACCTTGTTTGATAAGGTACATTGCTCTATAAACGATCACATGATGTGATTTTTGGAGTGTGTGTGCTCTTTGTTCCTTAAACTGGATTTTTCTCAGAAAGGAATAGTTGGGTGAGTCACTGGGATGGCTGAACAGGTTGTTTTTCTTTCACATGGTTTTGTAAACAATAGGAGTGCCAGTTTTGGCCAAAGATGGCCATTGTTCTTTCTGTGTTCTTGATCTGTTTTTTTTTTTTGTTTTTTTTTTTGTTTTGTTTTTTAATAAAAGCAGTGCCATGAACCTGTTTGTCTGGTCTGCAACTCACTTGAATTGTTCCATTTGTTGCCGTTGGAGTAAATTGCTTACTGGCTTTTTCACATCTGCCACTCACTCAACCATCACTGAAACCAGTCTTGGCTTTGAGCCAAGTTGTAAATTAGAGCCATTCCCTCAGTGTCCTCACGTTCTCTACCTGTCTGTCCCTTTTTGAAAGATTCTCCAGGATGGGACGGCGGTCGTAGCAATGGTTTTGTCAATGGGTACCAAGACGGTCATATGAATGGGACTGCAAACTTTGGCCGTGGACCTCCTCGTAATGACAGAGGTGGACGTGGTGGCTTTCGTGGAAATAGGAACGGTGGTTCCTTCAACCAGCCAATGCATAATGCAGGTGAGAGTTTTAAAAGTCTTAGAAATTATAGAAGAGTGATTGTTTTGCAGGTTGTACATGTTTTAATCGTCTAACATGATGAAATTGCAGGTTATGGCAGTTATGAGAACAAAGATGGAGGCTGGAACGCTGTGGTAAACAGTGATGCCTACACTAGCTTTGGTGGGCGTTCTGACAGAGGGAAGTCTGCCTTCTTCAATGATAGAGGAGCTGGCTCAAGAGGAAGGTGAGGAAGAGTGCAGTATTGTAACATTTGTTTTAGATACCATTAAAATTTCACAGATCTTCACCACCTATTTTAATAATATGGCAAAATGTAATACTAACCTAAGTATTGTAAGTAAAAGGTTCTCAACCTCCCAACTGTGTATGTTCACTTTAGACTGTTTATGAAGCTACACGTCAAGATGGGCATTTTGAAATTTTTGTGTGTATTTCAGTGTTTAAGCTCAAAAAGCCACCAAAAAGTGCTCAGATGTGTGATAATCCAGATTCCTCTACTGGTTGAAAAGTTCTGCTGGTTTATCGTGTCTGTTTTATCTGTCTTCTGGTGCCTAAATTGACATGTTAAATGATGCCTAAAATGGTTTGGTTTGTTGGTTATATGCACTACTTTTCTAAACAATGGGGTGATTGATTAAGCCTGTTAATGCAGTGTGCTCAGAAGTAATAGATCATGTAAAAATTGAGTATTCATTGTGTTGTGCTGCAGTGATTTTATTAAAAACAAATGTTTCTTAGCAGGTATGAGTGTGGAGGCTTTGGAGGAGGAACAGGAGGAAACAGTCGTTGGGTTGAAGAATCCAGAGATGAAGAGGACTGGTCAAAGCCACTGTCCCCCAATGAGCGTCTGGAACAGTAAGTGGCCCGCTGCTAATCGCACTGTGTGTCCTTTCTCCTGAGTCCATCTGTCTCTGTGATTAAGCCATTGTTTTGTCCTCTGTCTCCCCCTCCAAACGACAGGGAGCTGTTCTCTGGGGGCAACACGGGGATTAACTTTGAGAAGTATGATGACATTCCTGTGGAGGCCACTGGAACAAACAGTCCTGGGCATATTGAGAGTGTAAGCCTAATAATCAGTGCCTTGTTGAATCAAGTGGCAAAACAAATAAGGTGGAGGGCTGCTAAAGAAACCGGTGGATGATGGTTTCTATTTGTCTTTCAGTTCCATGATGTGGACATGGGCGAGATCATTATGAGCAACATCACTCTGAGCCGCTACACACGGCCTACTCCTGTTCAAAAGTATGCAATCCCCATCATCAAGACCAAGAGGGACCTGATGGCCTGTGCTCAAACAGGTGGGCCATTAGAAAGTAGACCAATGTGTCTGTCTACTGGGGGATAAATGGTCTAAAATTGCATGCCAGTTGAACTGTAATGGCCAACTATATTTGCAATTATGTGATGACAAAGTAAAACTAGGATAAATTTTTTTTGCACAGTTTGACAATGTTAATAGCTTTAGCTGAATTTAGTAGAAACTGCTAAGACTGCTGATGCTGGATTCTATGTTGTGGGTCATTTACATAATGTAAACATTGACCCGCTGATTAAGTAAATGCTTTTCTGATCGACTTGAGTAAAATGAGAAGCTGTGAGCCCAAGTTCATGCCAAGAGTTCAGTGACTGATCCTTTTGAAAATGTACCCCTTCCACTTCCTGTCTCAGCAGGCAGGGCTTTGTCAGAATAAACCACATTGTTGACTAGGTTGAATGTGCAAAGTCTGGCTTTGGCTGTCCCATGAGGATGAAATTGCAGCTGTATGAGCAGTGAAGAGCAATGTGCTTCATCGCATGTGTGCTTCATTCTCTCAGGCTCGGGGAAGACTGCAGCCTTCTTGCTTCCTGTGCTTAGTCAGATCTACACTGATGGACCTGGAGAGGCACTGCAGGCCACCCAAGCCAGCACCCAGGTTACTATACATTTCTTTATTGGCCAGAAGTTGTGCATGGAGTCTGGTGACGGAAAGAAGTTCTGCTTCTGTCATGAAAGCATTTTGTTTTGGTCTTTCTCAAGCAGGAGAATGGGAAGTACGGCCGTCGTAAGCAGTATCCCATCTCTCTGGTTCTGGCTCCAACCAGAGAACTTGCTCTTCAAATTTATGATGAGGCCAGAAAGGTATGTTTCTGGTAAACCAGCTACAGGTTAGCAAAAGTTGGTTTAAATTAAGCTCGCCTCAACTAATTTTGTTGTCATCTTCTGCAGTTCTCTTACCGCTCCAGAGTGCGCCCGTGTGTGGTGTACGGAGGCGCAGATATAGGGCAGCAGATCCGTGATTTGGAAAGAGGCTGTCACCTGCTAGTGGCCACACCGGGTCGTCTGGTAGACATGATGGAGCGGGGCAAGATTGGCCTAGACTACTGCAAGTAAGTGAATCTAGTAGCAGACAGATTGTAGGTTTTCTTTGACCTCAAATATGTCTTAGTTCAGAAAAATGACTTTATACATTGTGTAGATACCTGGTGTTGGACGAGGCAGACAGAATGCTCGATATGGGTTTTGAACCCCAGATCAGACGTATCGTGGAGCAGGACACCATGCCTCCTAAAGGTGTTCGCCAGACCATGATGTTCAGTGCCACCTTCCCAAAAGAGATCCAGGTATGCATACATGAGCCTTACCAGTGAGAGTCACTATGAATTTTAAATAAAATTTTTGATCGCAATAAAGAACTGCATTCGTACCTTTATATTGTAAGATTCTGGCCCGTGACTTTCTGGAGGAGTACATCTTTCTGGCTGTGGGCCGTGTGGGCTCCACCTCAGAGAATATCACCCAGAAGGTGGTTTGGGTGGAAGAAAATGACAAGCGCTCCTTCCTTCTTGACCTGCTTAATGCAACAGGTAAATCACCTTCCCTTGGCCAATGTTTTACAATGTCATCGGGTCCTTGATAGCTTGTTTCAGGAATAACAGATTTGATCAACTCAAATATATATGGGTGTATAGATTTTATTGTATTATAACACTAGATTTTAAAACTAATACCATAAATGGTAGGGATGTGCATCTCCATAACTGAGGCTGATGCGATCCGCATCTCGATGCATAGCCAACGATACAATACATTAAAGATTGATATGAAGCAGCTACCGATGAGATGCGATTCACCCCATTACAATGCAGTGCAATCTGATTTCGATTCAACACTATGCGATTCAATGCAGTATGATGCAATGGAAAAAAATACGATGCTATGCAATTCAAAGGTACCTATGCAGGTAAAGATAGTTCGCATTTCTTTTAGTTCAGACAGACAAGGTCATGAATTAATTTAAGTGCCTTCTGACTTCTAACACCTCGGTCTCCGTAGTTTTGTGACACGTCATATTTACATAGCAGCAGTGATGAGAATCCAACTTGTGTACGATGCACACTTTTTTTTTTTTTTTTTTTAAATCAATGCATCACATCGTTACTTTTTCTGCCAATGCATAAATGTGAATCTTGCCATCCCTAATAAATAGTGGTATGGGATATATATGTATTTTTTTATCACTTCTATAATTTCATTTGCTTTTGAATAACATTTTTCTTAAAAATACTTTTAAAAGCATCTTAAATCTCTTTTTGAAGTCATTTTTAAATGTGACACTAAAGAGATAAAGACTGACTTATTGTTGTGCTAGTAAACATGTAGAAACAGTGACTGACTGACTTGGTGAAGCTCTTATGTATATCCATAGCAACACAGCACTGAGACACCCATGCTTTCAGATAAGTCTCGTTGGTCAGTGTTACCATGCCAACATTATCTAAGCAAAGACTGTAGCAGAAGGTTGCTGTTTAGTAGCTTAAAAGGAGGGAATGAAGTCACATAGTGGGACATATTAATGGCAGTGTGTTCTACATTTTCATGCCATCATGCCAAAACTCGACTACGGTAAAGAAGCAAGCTGTGTTTAATATTGCATTGAATGCAGATAATTAAGCTTACAAAAGCATTTCTTAATTTGCAAGATGCTTTTATCCATAGTGACTTATTCTTGTCTTTGTAGGCAAGGATTCTCTCACACTGGTGTTTGTGGAGACTAAGAAGGGTGCTGATGCTCTTGAGGACTTCCTCTACCGCGAAGGCTATGCCTGCACCAGTATCCATGGTGACCGGTCTCAGCGTGACCGTGAGGAAGCGCTCCACCAGTTCCGCTCTGGGCGCTGCCCTATCATGGTTGCCACCGCTGTGAGTAGAGTTTGTGAGTTCACTGGAAGCCCGTGGTTTTCCTCAAGTTTATTTATCTGATTGTGTTTTTGTCTTGATAGGTGGCAGCACGTGGCCTTGACATCTCCAACGTGAAACACGTGATCAATTTTGATTTGCCCAGTGACATTGAGGAATACGTCCACCGCATCGGTCGTACAGGACGTGTAGGAAACCTTGGTGAGTTTTGCTGTTGTTTTCAGAAATATCTTGCATTTCTCATTTTTGCCAGGAACTCTGTTTGTGAGATTGATTTATTTTCAGGACTGGCCACATCCTTCTATAATGATAAGAACAGCAACATCACTAAAGATCTGCTGGACATCTTGGTGGAGGCCAAACAGGAGGTGCCTTCCTGGCTTGAGAACCTAGCCTATGAGCACCAGCACAAGAGCACCAACCGTGGACGCCCCAAGAGGTATGCAAACATACAAGCTCTCCAGTTCTCCCCAGTGGGTTTATGTATTTTCCAGGTTCATGACGTTACTCTTCTTCTGCAGATTCTCTGGTGGCTTTGGGGCCAGGGATTACCGCCAGATGGCTGGAGGCGGCAACGCTTTCGGCAACCGTGGTGCTCGCAACACTGGTGGCCATGGAGGGAACAGAGGTTTTGGAGGCAATAAGGGTTAGTTTAACTTGAAAACCCCATCTTATGATTTGCCACTTATAATAATGTTCAATTAGTTAACTTTAATTTAACATTTATCCTAAATGAATAAACTTACAATAAACAACATTTTTACAATATTCATTGGAGTTTAATGGAGTCATGAACTGCTAAATCAAAATTGCCATGATCTTTTGACATAAGAGGTCATTGTACTATAAAAATAATCTGAAAGCTTTGAGTTCTGAAACTTACTTGTTAGTCTAGCCCAGTGGTTCCCAATCCTGGTCCTGGAGAACCCCCAACACTGCACATTTTTGGCGTCTCTCTTATCTGACACTCACATTTGAGGTCTTGGAGTCTTCACTAATGAGCTGATGAGTTGAATCAGGTGTGTTTGAATAGGGAGACATCTAAAATGTGCAGTGTTGGGGGT